AGTGTAAATATAAAACAAAAAATGAACAAACATGGCTCTAGCACAATAATAATATGACACAGGACGGTCTATTCATGAAAACTATTATTCATATAGCTCAAGTCATGGTCCTATGGACCTGCTCTAGAAGAGAAACTCCTCCAATCAATTACGCAATGCAACTTCTGAGCTCTGATATTAATCAAGCAGAAAATATCAATAATGAAACACAAGTATCAATGTGGCAGGCATTTTCATCAACTCTGCAAGAAGTTAAATCTCCACGGATGGACTTCCAAGCAGAAAATCACCCATCTAATAATATTAGTTTGTATCATGAGAACGTCTAGATTAAATGATTGCTGCAAAATCAGGAATTACCTTCACAAAAAAGGCAAGGGTACTAATAAATATAATTGACATTGCCACTCAACAGAGAATTCACCAAAAATGTTGTAGAATGAGTACCAAAACAATGTTTGAATATCTAAAGAACAAAACGCAACCTGGTATTGATTCACAGATAAGACAACTTAATGCGGCCAGAGTCCAGAGACACCGGGATTTCAGTACTTGTCTATGCTATAATCACTGTGAGAGGCTCCAAGACAAAAACACAAACAAAATCATATTAATGATCCCAAATACGGGGAAAAATTTAGGTTAGGTTACACTAACATTTGAAAGCACAACAGCCTCATGCTATGTATCCATGGCAGCTCTGTGCCATTTAGGCAGTTATTATATTAAACAGAATGAGTATCGTTGGGTAGTAAGGTAAATTATTATCCATTCCACAACACGGATAGCAAAGTGGATCACCACCTTCTCCATGGAATCAAGGATCAGTGTAGCCCCATAATATATCTAGCAAAACCTAAGCCCTGTGCCTTCACATGCCAAAAATAGACCAACAGAATAAAAATATTCTTCCAATAAAAATTTGTGAAGCTTATGTACTACTCATCGTGGGGATGGCAAAAGTACAATAAAACATTCACAAGGAGATTAACTACACTTGTTGCAACTATTCCTGGGGCATTCTCATCAATAGGCTATCTAACAAGGAACCAACACCAGGTTAAAAAGCATATTAACGAACTCACTGTGTGAGGAAACATTTCATTATATTCTCAGCAATCTCCAATCTTCCTAACTTTATTTGGGCTCGTGTAGCAGCTTTAATAGCCATTTATCATATCATACACGAACAAATTAGTAACCAAGTCACTGCTAAACCTGACAATTGCTTTCTTTGTTAATTCTGCTTCTTCTACTCCATCTACTCGCTGACTAAATGCTGGGGGAATATATATCTAAACTTAGATTTCTTAGGCCATTCATTCTTCTGTCATGCAGAAGCAAAATTACACATCCTGGTCCAGATTTTCGCTCAGTTGAAAAGCTGAAGCAGATTCCAAAGTCATATCAAGTCAGATATCTCCCTTATATGAAAAAGAACCAGGACGGTAGATTGCAGCCAAAAAAACAAAGAAGAAGTAAAAAGATCGTTCCTCCTCCTCAGTATTATAACATACACACTGCTAGTTAGAATTAGAATCTTATTTTGTTGCCACATGTGGGCCCAACCTAGTTTAGACTGCAAGCAAAATTCACAGCCAAACTAATCTAAGGATAATTGATAACCAAATCAACTCCAAAGCATTCAAATCAAAATACTGCACACTGATAAAGTACGGTCTGTTGTCATCAGCACACCAACAACAATTAACTCCGACATAAAAATAATGGTGCAACGAATTGAAAAATGATGTAAGCGAAAAAAAGCCATACATAAGTGTTCAGCTGCCTCACAAAGCTAGAGAAATTGTTGTGCTTGAAGTATTTGGGCAATAGATCTCTGGCAAACTCTGGGGGGTTCCAAACCACGAAGCTATTGTTGGTTGGGCTCCAAGACACGATCGCATCAGAGGCCGGGTCGTCCACCATGTCATAGGTCTTACTAAGGAACGGCGGCGGAGCGTTCGCATTAGAAATGGGCGCCGGTGCCGGAGCCTCCATCTGGACGTCCCCGCCGTCTCCACTGCTCTTATTCTCTCCATCCATATCAGAAATTTGATTATAAAAGATATATCTACATCAGAAGACAAGACTATGATTCTAATTCAATGCAAGCCATTGGTGCGAAACTTAAACCCTAGTCGGAAGGATAGATCTGGAGTGCAGAAAAGAGCAAGACTTTCAAGATAAAGAGAGAAAGGAAAAGTGCGTGAATTGAGAGAGAAGAGGAGATTTTGTACGGACCGGAGAACGAAGACCACCGGTTTTACATCGCAGGCGCGGCGGTAATAATGGAAGAAGCAACCCAGTTGCACATTTCAGGGCTGAGAGATAACGTCGTTTCAATACGACCCCAAAAAAAGTTTTTGCCAAAACGACAATTTTGTTCGTTTGCGGTAAAACTTGTTGCTGTAATTTGAATTTAAATTTAAATTTATTATTTTTACATAAAATTTTATTTTAATTTTCTAATTTTATAGAATGTATTTCACTTCTCAAATCCTACTACTATCAATTTCATTGCTTAAATATTAATAAAATATTATCAAATGTTAATACATTAAGTTTAACTTTTTAAAATAATATTAATTGATGAAAAATCATCACTAACACAATTAAAGTTAAAAACAAAACTAAAATTTTTGGCCCCAAAAAAAAACTGAAATTAGAAACCAAGTCTCATTTGTTTTTGGCCACACAAAATTTGAGTTTAGCTGCTGCGGAAGGGTACAAAAATTTCAGAACACAAAACGAAAATAGTATACTTACGAAAAAAATACAGTATCGGCCAAAAAGGTATATTTTTAAATCAATTGTCCTCATAAAAAAGGCATTCATTATTTTAATCTGAAAATAAAAAATATCTAAGTTAATTTAATTTTTAACATTGACTTTATTAATGGAAATATATTCTTACAAAATATTCAAATTTTTTTTGACAAGGCCGGTTTTTTTTTTTTAATGTATGCAAATATGAAATTGGGTCACGTCAAATTCTCTCTTCAATAATCACATCGCTTAAAATCTGTATATTTACTAATGGGGTTAGGTTTAACGAAAGGAGTTAGGGGGTGTTTGGATAGAAACCAAACCATGGTTTCAGAAGTGCTTTTACGGATTACAAAGTAAATATGTGGAGGAGGTTACCTCGTTTTGCGGAAAAGTGATTCTGAAACCTAGGTTTTGGTTTTGCCAAACACCCCCTTAGTTTCTCACAACGTGATGAATCAATGTTCAAATCCCGTTAAAAGAGGTACTCACATTTAGTATCCAATAATACTTTAAATAGATTACCTCTAATAGAAGGATACCTATATTTTAGGGGGGAAAAATCTGGATGTTTGCTTGGGCTCGCGTAAACATGATAGGAAGGTATATTCGCAAATTATAGACAAGATAATTCATTCTGTATTTCAAGCTGCATTTTTAATTCCTAATTTGTTGCCGCTCTTGCTGTTTTCTTTTCTTGGTTTTTGTCCGAATGATCTTTTTTTCGTTTCAACTATTGTCTGAGTTAATTTTGTGGCAGGTAATTCTGCAACAATTGTATTCCTATATATAAAGAATTTAATAATGAATAATTATCATAAAAAACCATTAAATACTAGGTTTTTTCCCCTCTTAAAAAACAAATGGGTCAAGGGGCACGGGAGTGTAAAGGAATATGCTGGCATAATCCGTAGAAAACAAATCTGTGATGCAATGCTTGTAGGTATCAAATGGGAGGAGAGAATATTTAGAATCTCTCTCTCTCTCTCTCTCTCTTTCTTCTTAGAATCCAATCTCCACGGTTGGATCCAATAATAGATGATTCATATTTTATACTTCTCCGGTTCTTAATATAAAACCCATTTAACTAATTTGATTAGATTAAGGAAGTTAGGTAAGTTAGTTAATTATAAGAAAAGTGACACATTTTTCCTAAAACACCACAATCATCTTTTTTAATACCCCTTCTCCCTCTTCTATTTGATTATGGTTGAGGGAGTATCTATAGGGGTAATTTAGAGAAAATTGATAAATATGAGAAACGGGTCTTATATTTAGGACTAAAATCAACTCAAGAATTGGGTCCTATATTAAGGACCGGAGGAGTACTTTATAAAATCATTATTATAATATTACATAAACAGAAAAGAGAACATGGACTTTTACTTTTTAAAATATTAAATCTAAACTATTCATTTTTTAATCTAACATCAAACCAGCATGACTGAATTGAATCCACTATTATTTTAGGGATAACGTGCAAATTTGTTTTAAAAATTTTTACTTAGAAACATTAGGTATTTAGAATTTTTTTAGATGCAAATTTCTCCTAAAAGTTTTAAATTATAGTGATATTACCTCTTACCGTTAAAAATATTAACGTTCAATATTATTATTTTAATAATCAATATTAGTTTTTTAATTGTAAAGATATTTTTTAACGAAAATGGTAATATTATTATAATTTTAAACTCCTGAGAAAAATTTCAGAGGGCCATTGGTACTTGGTAAATACGTTGCCTTAACCCATTATTTTAATCAACATGATTAGCTCTCAGCTTTATGATTGCAATATTATGTACGATGATGTAAAAAACGTAGTCACTAAAACTGGTCATACACGTTGGCATGTCATTTTATCTTTTTTCCATACTCTCTCCTATGATCAATGTTAATCACTTTCCAACTCCACAAAGAATCAAGTGCAAAAGATTGAGGGACGTTACTTGAACCTTTCACAAGTAGAAGTAATTAAAAGATTAAATTTAGGTAAATTTTTCTAATCACATTTGCTATTTTGTTATTGTTAGTGTTAAAATGCATATTGAACTTTTAAATTTACCCATGAACATTTGTAAATTTTTGTATTAGCTCCTATAACAAAAATTAGGATTTATAAATTTTCATATGGACCCTTATTATTTTGTTATTATTAATTGGTAAAACGCACATGTTCATTTGTAGCTTCATCTAAGAAATATGAAAACTTGCTATTGTGTTATTATTAATTGTTAAAATGCATATATGCACTAACTTAACAAAGATAAGTAATTTAATCTTAATTTTGTCCACATTTAAAGCAACAGTATAGATAAATTTGACTACCTCAGAATCAAGTACTAAAAGGCAACTATTATGCGTATCCTAGTATATTCAGACGCTATTATCCATGTTCCCCCTTGGGATCCAAGGCAAGAAAAGGCTCAAAAGCTATTTACAATCACATACTAGTAGTATATATGTACACATATCGAATAGTTGATCATGCTATATGAGTGTACTCGAGTCGATACAGCACCTTGAAATCCCGGCGTGTAATCAACCAGCTAACACAATCAAGACAAATGACTTAGGACATGTTCAAATTCAGCTGTGTCTGCAATTGAATAGCATCACAATCTGCAAGCATATGGTCTCGTAAGGTTCCAAGTCGCATCTGCTTCACACCTGGGGTGGTAAAGAAACAAGGATACCGTTAGTATTAGCAGAATTCACATAGACAAAAAACACTGTTAGTTGAAATTATTACTTGTTTCCTCAAGTTTGCATCAAGTATTCGAGGCCCAGAAAGTTTTCAGAGACAAAACAAAGCAGGTGATTCAGAAATATGACGCTCATAAAATATGATGAATCCCACCATGTTGATACTGTTATACTGATCTCAATGTAGTTTTCATATGTCAAGACATTGAATTACCCGCAGCTTATAGAAATGAACATTCATATTTAGTAGCTTAAGACAAACTCAGCAAATTGCTAATGGCTGAATAGTGATGAAGTAAAACAGCTTCTCACTGGATGATAATATAAACATCTCAAGCCAATACTCGCAGATTCAGAGTTCACATAGAGCATGACTTTCTAGCGCAAATATTTGCAATCCCAAAAAAATTCCTCCCCTGACAAAAATTGCAGCCCTAATCTAGAAAATGATCAAGTAAACCTCCGGCAGGTAATTGATCCTTCTTCTGTGTGGTTTGATATTACTTTATCCAAATTCAAGATTTCAAGTATATACCTGAACAAATGATTTATAAGAATTCATTCAAGAGCATATACTACTATAAATAATATATATGAGAAGACGATGGAAGGTTTCTAAAGCTATGTGGAAGCATGGTAGACTTTGTGGAGGATGGTAGTGCGAGAGTGACAACCGGTCATCACGAGATTTATACAGGGATATTACTCCTTGAAAAAAGTCAGGCGGTAGCCAACCAAATGTCAATGACGAGCTTGTGTTCCGAGAAATAGGGGGTGTGCTAAGAAATATTAACAACATTTTGAACTGGCATAGGCTTAAAAACATAACAGGCTAACCAAAGCTACGTTGGTGGGATGGAACCTGAAAAAAACATGAAGGGGAAATGACTGACGCTGTAAAAATGAAACAGGTGGTGCTTGATAATATAATTAAACAAAGGACATATGGTTGGAAACATTGTCAATTTTTCCTCTATCCTTGTCCGATTCTTGGATATTATTTCCTATCAGGCACGTTGTAAATTGGCAGTTTCAAAACCCAATATATGATTCTCTATTAATTTTTTTGGGAAAAAAAACCAACCACTACCAATAACAAAGTCAAATATAAAGGTCATAAAGTTATTTCCCAAAACAAAGCAAAGAAAATGTAGTCTACTACAGAAACTAACCAGAGTAATGATTCTCAGGTTAAATTCAAGGGAAGTAGGAAGGGCTGAAAATGAGTTCCAATGGCGTCTTGGAGCAGCAAATGGGAAATCCCCAGCTTTGCTTACAGTGTACATTGCCTTCACTACTGTTGTGTCATCTCATCCGAAAGTCTTGGCAATATCAACTTCAAGCAGGCAAGACCCGAACCAGTTGGTCCCTCTCCTTTCACATTGGATCACATTGCACGGTGCAAAGCAGTATTACCTTGCAGCTCCCTGCATAATGCAAGGGCAACCATAAAATAGATACCAATTGTTGTGATCCAAGCTCATAGTGGTCCAGGCTGATAATAACATCCCCAAATTGAGAGATGCTTTCCTGAAGAGGAAAAACATATGGGCAAGTGAAGATCTAACTTAAAATGCTGATCATTTTCTCCCTTAGGAATAAGTCATTACTATGAAGGAAAACCTTACCACTTCAGCACCACGACCAGGATAAGAATCCAAATTCTGTTATTGGCCACAATCATACGGTGCAAAACAGTCATGACTCCTTCACCATAAAAAAAATTGTGATTAGTTATCAAGTCAATTCTTTAAATCCATCAAGTAATTCAACCTTCTTAGCATGCTCTCACATTAAAATTGTGTGTCAAGCACATTAGAAACTACATTTACTTATATTACTAGAACAATGCCTCCAGTTTGCAATAAATCATATTGTCAGAATGTCAGCTACATCACAATGAAACGTTAAACCTGCAAAGTATAGTTACATAGGAAATATGATTTAATTTCTCGGAAAAGAAAAAACACTTCCTCAAACTAAATTCAGAAAATTATGCAAGAAATGTGATTTTTTTTTAAAAAAAAATAGTGAGTGTGACAGCTATTGAAAAGCGCTCTATAATTAATGATCTTGTTATTTCAAATGGGCCATCAATTAGAGAGAATTTTAGTAAACTAGCATAAATAATCGATCAAACATGAGAAAATGTGAGGCACGTACCATCAAAATATCATGAAACCTCAGCTTCTGCTCTACCGCCTCCCAAAATAAACTGTATGAGTTATATCATCTGGTGAAATACCCTTTATCCTCATTTCACGATATAACCTATGCGCCTGATCTGCATATCCATGTTTACGGTACCAAGCAATGAGAATAGTGTAAGTGACTACACTAGGATTAACTGCTTTTCTGTTCATTTCATCAAACAGAAAAGAGGCTGAATCTATCCGGTTTAACTTGCAAAATCCATCTATCAAACATGTGTAAGTAAATACATCAGGCAAAAGGCCTTTCCTCAACATTTCTTGGAATACTACCCAAGCCCTTCTCATATCTCCAGTACTACAAAAACCAGCTATTAAAGATGTATATGAAATATGATCTGGATTCAAACCATCTTCTATCATTTTCTTGTAAAAACCAAAAGCTTCATGCATTTTGCCCACGCGGCAAAAGATGTTAATGAGGACTGTATAAGTGATGGTGTTGGGACTGACTCCAACTTTCAGCATTTTAGTGTATAACCATAAGGCCTTCTTTAGATGAGATTGTTTGGCAAAAGCGTCTATGAGAGTTGTATAATTAACAACTCCTGGAAGCACATTCCTTTTCATCATTCTTGGAAGGAGCTCCCATGCCCATTTTAAATATCCTCTCTTGCAAAGACTGCAGATGACAGCGTTATATGAATGAGAGTTTAGGTCAATTCCTTGGTCTTGGAACTCTTCCAGTAGAGTCAAGGCTTCCATGAAACGGCCTTCTCTGCAGAGCCCATCGATAATAAAATTGCAAGTGATGGTATTTGGCAAAATACCACCTTGTAGCATGGAATTTAGAATTTCCAATGCCTTGTCTACGAATCCCAGTTTGTAGAATCCTCCAATTATACACTGATAACCAAAAGAAGTCGGAACCAGATCATTTGTGATCATCTCCTCCAAAAGCTTTTTGGCTGAACCCATATCACCTTGACAGCAATATCCATTGATTAAAGTTTCATAAGCAGCCTGATCATATTTGTATCCAGAGGCACCGATATTCCGAAACACACACATTGAAAATTCCATCAGCTTACTCTTGCATAGACCATAGATGAGGGAGGTGTAACTAATTATGGATGGTTTTATATTACAAAGTTCCATTTCCTCAATCAAGTCAAAAGCTTTCACTATATCACCCTTTTTACAACATGCATGAATTAAAATACTGTAGCTACAAACATCAGGCAATACTCCTGAGCTCCGCATTTCTTGGAAGACTTCCAAAGCTTCATGAACTGCACCTCTTTGACAAAATTCATAAATTACAGAATTAAAGCAATAGCTATTGAGAGGCAGTTTTCTATACCTGCATTCACGAATGAATTGCAGAGCAGCAGCAACAGAACCAACTTTACAAAGTCCACGAATATAAATACTATATGTGACAACAGTTGGGTTTTCCCCACTCCTCAATATTTCTTCAAAAATTCCGGTAGCTTGGTTAATATCTACATCCTGCCCACAATCTCCTCTACAGTAGAAGCTCATCATAATTGTATACGTGTAGATATTTGGTGATGGGCCTGAGATTTTTAGCTCTTGAAATAATTTTCCAACCAACTCCACCCTCTTTCTTTCTACCAAGCATTTCAACAAGAAATTGCACGACAATGCATCAGGTTCAAACCCCAGATGCTTAATTCTCACGAACACATCAAATGCGTCATCAAGCATGGAATAGGATGCAAGTACTTTTATTAATATGTCATACACAACAATTGATCGTTCCACATGCTGAGGTGAATCTAACAAAGTTGAAAACAATTTGAACGCGTCTAAATTGGCTTTCCTATAGAATCCAACAATATCTCTGAGCAAAGCAAATACTTCCATGTGCATTCCCTCCGATGCATATATGTGAATAATAATTCTAAAGGAAGTGATTGAATGATAAAATCCAAATAGCTTTACAGCTTTCCAGAACATTTTATCTCTTGCAAGTTCAGTCTCCCAATTTGAGGTTTTAATCACCCAGACCACTATAGGAAATAAACTGCCCTTTCTTTCCAGGCTTGAAACTCTCATACTATTTCCTCCAAAATTGACCATTACATTGGCATAATCAACTTCAGGACTTTCATCAAACAAGTGGTCTTCAGACATCACTGCCGAAGAAGCAGCATAGTACAATCTAAATAACCGTTGTTTGGAATAGAGTACTTTGCTGTGAAGCAGAGCGAACTCAACTCCACATCTTATCGACATGAATATACACCCATCAATACACAATTCGCGGCACCAAGGGAACCTCTCCGATACCAATCTAACAAGCGTAGACCAGTTACGGTGCCACAGCACTAACAAAGCTGTGAGAAGGAAACAACCTCAAGGGGTTAATAGCCAACCATCGGAAAAGAAATTTCCGCGACCCCTCTTCCCTGGCAGCCTAGTTTAACTCTCAAGTTCTATCTTTAAAAAATAGCCCGGAATCAATGGTTGAGGTATGTAAACAGTATACCCTGAAAGGATGTATCTTGACACAAAAACTCGCCTTGACGTTGTCACAAAAAAAAAAAAAAACTCGCCTTGATAGACATATGCTTCTTCTAGTCACTGGGGGCAATGACAGAAAATAAAGAACAACCGGCGGCTTCAGCTCTTCTCCGAGGTCTCACGTATAACTGGACAGGGGACGCGGAACAATGAGGAGCTACAACAGCTACAGCACAGTAAAGTAGGTTTGGCCGAATTGGAGTGTCTATGGTCCTTTTATTTATCGTTTTTTTTAAAAGACATTTTGATTTGATTTGAAGAGTTGGAATTTATAGCCCTAAGACACAGCACGTGTATCCCAAAGTTCAATGACAAGTTTACTTTACTATAGGTATAAAATGTTTTCTATATGATTTATAAATAGTACTAGCTCCAATCTTTAATAAAAGATCTTATTTGATTTTTATTTTCATCTTAAATAAAAGACTTCAATCCACTTTGTCTCTTATATTTATGTGTTTTTTCTCAAAGTAATTCTTCTAACAATAATAGCTCTAACCAATACAATTGATTAGTAAAAATATTTTAGGAAAGATAACACCTATTTATTATAAATAACTAACTTAACTTCTTTACTTAATCTTCTCAAATTAGTTAACTAGTTCTTATAATTAGGACTACATGTAGTATATAATTTATGTATCATATATCAGTATTAAAAAACAAAAAAGGAAAAATTAATACGCAGGTCTTTGTAGTTTTATCTTGTTTTGAATTAGCTCATTAAAGTTATTTTCCTTTGTATCAAATCCTTAATGTTTTAATTATTATAGCTATAGTTCTTTTTGTTTAAACATCGTTAGATTTGGGTTAACACCACTAAAGATGACTACTGCCATTGATCCCTCAAAAAATCACCATCACAGGCAGATCAAAATCCCTATCTGAATCTTATTCTTTATACCCAAGGAACATATATCTTTGTTTCAATCCAAAAACATACATTCATCCATCACCATAAACTTCAGACCCAGATTTTCACATTATTATTCTTCCAATAATCATGGAAAATAGACGTGCTCCATTTAGTTGGCCTAACAATCAAGATGTACATCTTGATGCTAGAGGATGATGGTTAGGGAGGAGAGGATCTAGCTGTCGTAAGACGGTCTCGCTTGAAGGGCTCATGATGTAGCAACAATCTATCACAATCAAACACTCCAGTGCCACATTGGTGGATCCCCTTCAAGCACAAGCTCACATCCACTAACATAGTGGATCCACTTTAGGTGCAATCCTCGAATGGGATTAATCTGCTGCCATAGCGGGCCTAATCCTCATCAGACCCAACGAATCCCCCAAAGCTGTGCTCACAGTCGAAGGAATACTCCTTAAAATTCCCATCATGTGCCAGGACATCGAAGATGATCTCTGATTTCTCGCCTGGGAAGACCTCAAAGGATCCATGAGGTTTAGCTTAGCCAAAGAGGTGCCATGGTGGGACTTGTGCCTTACACTTGCCCCATACAAGCAACCTTATAGGAAGAAGGCTCTTGAAAATCAATAGCAGTGATCTTCTTTAATGGTGTTTAGCTCCATTTTAAACAAGAAATTGAACGGCTATAACGGTTAAAACATTAAAGATTTAATTTTAAAAAAAACTTTTGAGGACCTAATTGAAAATGAGACAAAACTACAAGAATATGTGTATTAGTTTTTCCAACAAAAAAGTTAGTCAAAAATCAAATAAATTTTGGATTTGTCCTTCTAAAATCGCCGATAGAGTCACGGTGATATTAATTTTATGAATTAGACTTGATACGTTTTATGTGAAATTTAAGAAGATATTCTCTATTTTGGTTAGTTTTCAAGAAATGCAGTTCGTAACATCCTCAATACATGAATTTAGTTCTTTTATAATCCACAATCCCTCAATAAAATTTTCTATCCATTTTCACTTTCATTCAACAATGACCAAGTAATATTTGGTGTAGTGTTCTTTGATTTTTGTAAAATAATTAGTATTTAATAAAATTTATGCAAGAATAACTTAGAAGTCAGAAAACTGGTGCATCTTACAGGGATCTTTCAGCTTTTGTAAATATCAGTACTTCTGAGACTTACCTTCACAGTTTGGCAAGCCATGCCAAAAACGTCTATGCAAATGAATTCATTAATTAATATTTATCATAACAACTAGGGGTGGTAATATGGACCAATCCATAGGTTGTGGGTTGACCCGTGACGGGTTAAAATTAGGCGGTGCAGGCTAAAAAAGTCCTGTGAGATGGCGGGTTGGCTTTTAGCCAACCCTAACCCGTCATAGTGGGTTGATGGGTTGGCCCGCCAACCTGCCAATTATTTTTTAAAATTTTTTTCTTATACAATATAAAAAATATAATGAAATTTTTATCTTTTGTTTAAATACTTGATTAAAAACACTAAATAAATAAATAATATATGTATTTTTTTTTAAATTTTCAGATAGAATATATAATATAATAATATACATATAATGATTACCAAAATTTTTAAAATACAAAAAAAAAAAAAATACAGGTTAACCGGCGGGCTAACCTGCAGAGTGGTTGTGGGTTAAGCGGTGCGGGTTGAAAAGCGTTGTTTACTGGCAGGTTGATATTTAACCAACCATAACCTGTCATTTTTGGTGGGTTAGCGGGTTCGACCTGCGAGTTTAACTCATATTACCAACTCTAATAACAACTAAGTTGGCAAAAATTTATTAAATTAAATTTACAATTTATTAAACCATTGATGAGAAAATTTGTAGATGACACATCAATCCACACACTACAATAGATGGAAAAGAGATTTGATGCCTGTATCTTCACTATAATTCTAAATCCTTCATATCAAAATTTACTGATACGTATTAATTTATATTTCTCAAAACTATCAAATTTGAACCATTTTAGGAATCAGTTTGAGAACACTCAAAAGCACAAACAAAACTCCTCTTATATATTTATTTTATACAGTAGAAAATCACATGAAATAAATCTGAGACACAATTACAATAGTTTCACCACTCACCCCTCGGTGAGGCACTTGCAACGCGTCAAGTGGACTCACATTGCCAACATATTCCGACTGCCCTCCATGGACATGTAGCCCCTATCTTAAATCGTGTATAATGAAAGCTTCAAAATTTTACAGTGTCAGCAAAATTCACCTCCAGTAAAATATAACAATTGATCTCCTTGCTAGTCATCGGAGTGCTGTTTGCAACCCTTGGGTCCATAATGCTGCGTGCTACGCCTAACAATTTCCCTGCAAGAGTAGCAATAATGGCTTTGGCATGCCCAGCAAAACATGTGGTTATTGTTTCCAACCTGTTGAATATCCCAAAAATGGGAAAAAGAGAGAATTCAGTAAGTGGTTTAGGATAGTCTTCCCTAGAATGTTTAAGTTTGACCATCAAGTTACATCATTCTCTTTCTTGGCTTAAGAAATTCAATTAACACATTATGACCACACTATCAGAGTCTTTGACACATAAACGTACGTTAGAGCCTAATGTCTTGAGAACTTCAATTAACACATTATGACCACCACTCTCAAAGTCTTTAACACATAAACGTACGTTAGAGCCTAATGTCTTTAGTTCATGAAGTTTTTACTTCAAGTTTCTTCAAAGAGCACCACCCATGATCAGATGTTCTTTTCCCTCACCAGCTCCTTCCATGTTCCCACGAAAAGTAAGCAGGTGATAAAACACCCCAAGCCAAGGCAATTTTACAACAGAAACACTAGTAGATGCGTTTTATACTAAAAACCAAAGTTAGAGATCATAACACAAATAGAATGTTAGTTTGAAGTAGCAACACAATATTTGCATAACAATATTCTTCAGGGATCAGAAAACGAATGAGAGACTGCCTGATGTTTCTCTTTATTAATAGCAGAGACAATGTGAACAGTAGTAAGAATAAATTATTTTTAAAACCCAGAACTACCTTTCTTTTTCCTGTTCAGTATTTCAGTACTCCAAAGATATGTTGATGTCATTTGTTTCGAAAAGATTAAGCTCATCATTAACTATTTAAATTGATTGTCTCAACTACCTCGTCTATTCCGTGAATCAAGTAACTCAACTATCTTATTGCCGGCGAAAAAAAAAGTAACCCAATGATCAATAAATCTATTCAAATTCGTCAATGATTAGATTTCTCATTATAGTTTGGCAAGTGACAACCAGAAAGCTTTACGTACCTTTGCATTAAATTGACGACAATTAGGACATCTTTGGCCACGTTGAAAAAAGAGTTCAGCTTGTAATTGTCCTACCACCTGACGGTGGTTTATACGTTCTTGCCAAGCCTCTACCATTTCTTGAGGAAACAATTCACAGGACCCATCCCTTGAATGAATAAAAATATAAGATTTATATGGACCTTGTAAATTAAAGAATTTTGTGCTTGCAAAAAGAATGTCCAGCTATTTCAAGAACCAATACCTAAAATGTTCGTAAGGATCAGATTCGTCAAGTGCTTTGTTGCAGCGGTAACAGAAATATTGGCCACAATTACCACACACCATTTTATTGCAACCCTCAGTTCGGGAAATAGCCATTTGACAGGAAGGGCACAGCTTAGAATCACGATGAATTTCTTTAACGCTGAGCATTTCATTAATCTTTTCACGTTCCCTCAGCTTCTGAGCTTCCTTTAATTGAGATGAATTTTGGCGCTCCTGTAACAAAGACAACAATCAGAAATCTGGGGAAATTAAACTATTTAGCTCATGGGAGGATGACAATAAAGAGAACGTGGAATGGGAACGTATATATCAGCAAAAACTCCCAGAAGTGAAGCCACTAGATCATCCTATCTGATTACACGCAAAAAGATGGAAACCTAATAGTTCTAAAAAAGTCACTGTTACATCAGAAAGGCAATTTTCCATATATGCAAAAAAGTGGTTGGAAGATTCCTTGTAACTCTTGAAGTAATAAAGCACTGATAGAATAAAGATTGCACCAGTGTATGAGATTATTCAAACTATAACGTATTCTTAGAAGAACCTACTCCTGTTGCTTAAGGGGGTGCAAGACAGAATAAGTAACCTGCCATATCTCTCTCTCTCTCTCTCTCTCTCTCTTTTTGCGGGTGGGGACTGCTGGACTAAAGAACCAGACATGAACCCATTATACATACTTGCAAAATTTGAAGCTTCATGTCTAGGGTCATGCATGCTATGCCCACATGGCGTCGTTCCCTGCAGAGGGTACAAAAACTAAAGAAGCATTTAGAGCATTGAGCATGTTGTTCTTCATCTTCTATACAAGGTGTTTCACATCTTGGGCAATAAGCAACATCAGACATTGATGCAAGAGTTTTCTCCAACATCAAGGATTCCCAGCGTTCATACTCTTCATCACCAAGCAAGCGTTTTAAAAGAGTGGGTGGAATCATAACAGCACATTTTGAATTGGGACATTGAAGATTATTGATGGTGCCTTCTTTTACATGCATCTGAGCAAAGGTCTGCAAGCATTTTAAGCAAAAAAAATGCTGACATGGTAACTGAGCAAACTCCGTACCTATTTGAATAAAAAGAAGGTATTTAGTTCCCAAATCTTTTAAGTGATAGACAGTAGAAATGAGTGGATAGCACTCCCAGGCAACAAAAAAAAAAAAAAAAGTGGAAAATAAAACTCCTTTTGCAAGCCAACAGCCCAAAGGGAATTGAGATGCGGAAAGATGTACCAATGCACTGAATTAGCTCAGGCAGCACAGCATCTATCCATGTAAAACAAGACAAAAGTAATATGGGAACAAGATCGAAGACGCAAAGAGAACAAATTTAATTCAGCATTTGTTAAGGAACTGAAAAAAAAATCTAATAGCCATAGCAAGGTTATAATAGCAAATTATACAGAAAACCTAACACATGTTAAATTTAATGAAATGAACAACAATTTCACATTAGACTACTAAAAGATAAGCTATCATAAGCTAGTCTACAAAAAAAACAATAGGGGCAACAGGTTTGGCGCCTAAGTGAGTAAGCAGGTAAGTATTATCTAAGAGTTTTCTATCACAGGCCTGATTCAGTAATTGAATTTTTGCCTTAGTAATAAGACATTTAAACGTCCAATATTAACTACCACAAAAAATAAGAATCACGCTTTCTTTTCTTTTCTTTTTTTTTTCCCAGAATAAGAATCACGCTTTCTGAATGAAGATTTAACTTTCAGTGTTGTTCAATATACGCACAAAAAATGAGCAAAGGAGGACATCCCCAAAAATATTGAGAAGTTGCTACCTGCTGTGATTAAAAAAAAAAAAAAAATCCTAATGTCAATAAGACCAACTAGTATGCTTGAAAGCTGAAACTAAAATTAATATATTATGAGACATAAGCTTCTTATATGCTGTCCCTGTGTCTTGTATGCAGTAATGAAGGCTGAAGGATCAAAATTTTGTTAACAATACCAAGTAATGCTTCGGTAAAGCGCGCTCACCCCCAACACACCCCCCCCCCAAAAAAAAAAAAAACAAACGAAAGAAACGAAAAAGAAAAAAGTGAATCTTTGATTGGACATTGACAATTTGAAACACTAATTAGCCAAAGGTACTTATAAATGACCATAAAATTCTGCCAGGCTAAAATAAGAAATTACCTGCATATACATTGAAGCAAATGCAACAATCATGCATTTCTTTAAGGAAGTTCTCATGACGTCTCTCATTGTTGTAACTTCGTAACGAAGGAATATCAAAATCTAGGGACACAGCTCCTGAGACTGCACGCTCATCTCCGGCATGTTTCACGCCATTAGGACCAAGAGTAATCTCTTTATCAAATCCCAGATGAGAAAGAGAAAAACCATGTAACCATTCTACCCACTGGTATATAACTTCCTGCCCTTGCTGCTCAGTCCATATTGAATCTAACATGGAGCATAGACTAGAAATTCTTGTGGAGTCCAACCACTTAACAGAAATTATAAAATGCGGCGGTTGATGGCTTGGGTATGACTTTGGCAGCAAACATGTCAAAATAATAGGTGGAAGATATTGGACTTTAAAAGAGTATGGGAAGTCATCTGCACTGCTGCTCGCAGTCTTATGGTCATCAGAAGAATTCAGCTTAGCTGTGATGCCAATTTCATCTAAAACTTCAATGTGTATGTGTACCTGCGAGAGCCAAGGGGAATAAATACACAATCCGGGGTTAGATGTCAGACGATTTTCTGTTAAAAAAAAGGGAGAAAAACAGAATTTTCAGACTAATTTACTGTGTTACTGCAAGACCTGAAAACAACGGAGACCTTTCCATCTCTCCAGGCTCAAGACATTTTCTCCATAAATCGACTCCACTGCAAGTCAGTAACTGGGGGGGAAAAAACCCTTTAGTGAGACAGCCCGAAAATTAAGACAATAATCATCAATGCCATGATATTTCTATATCTAAATCAGTGTTTCAAAACCTGCAGAAGACCAAGAGATTTAAAATTCTGACTTCCAATGCAAGTTTAATGCTTTTTAATGAAATTCAATCCTCAATCCCATAATTAAAAGAAGTCCGAGGATACGCTTGACTAGAATGAATATGACAAGGTAAATTGTGCCCTTCATCACCTCATCTGCTTGCAATTGATCATTTATACTCAGCTGTTCCTCTGACAATTCCGGCTCCCTTACATCGCTCAGAGCTTATCCAGTCTACTGTAAATACTATTCCCTTCCTTGTTTGAATCATCCACATGATTATCTTCCCTCTTATTTCCTACTTCCTTCTTCAGCTCCGAACCGTCCTTGTTCCCCGGGTCCAATTCTCGCTCGACGTCAACCTCACGAATTCTTAATTCTTTAAGCGAAAGATCAACCTCGGAATTAGAAGAATCCAATTCAGATTTCGGGACGAAGCGGAACTTGAGCTTTCCACCTTGATTCCTCCGCTTCGGCTGAGAAAAGCGAGGTTTGTGGCTCTTGAAGGGAGCTTCAGCTGCCATTGATACCCCTGAAACAAAACAGTGAAAACTCCGACCGCCACAAGCCCGCCACCATACGGTGCAAACTGCAAATATAAGGAAATAAAAAACTTTGCCTTTTCAACTTTTGAGCTAGAGGCCCATTGGGCGGTCAAACGAGAACTTGCTTCTTTCACAAGGCCTGACATTGTCATGCTTGGTGGGCAAACAAACCCTGTGGTCTGCAACGACTGGGTCACGATATGTCGAATGTTAAATTTTTGTAAAAAGAAAAGCTTACATTAGTAACCAAAAAAGAAGAAAGAGCTTACATTAGTATCCAACAACACCTCGAACAAGGATTATTTTTAATAAAAAGATACACGTGCTTAGTAACAAAAAAATAATGGTATTTTTTTACTTTTTAATTAATTCTTAAAATGAGGCATAATCTTATATTACCACCTATCTTTAATATAAACACTAGTTGATTAATTTGAGTAAATTAAGAAAATTATTTAAAATAATTATTTGTAATAAATTGATTTTGTCTTCCCTAAAATACTATTGTTAATCATATGCAATAGTTAAAACCAATATTTGATGAAATTTTTAACACATAACTACTACGAGGACCACTTTAGGAAACAAAAATAAATATGGGAGAAAAAATGAATTAAGATCTTATATTTAGAATCAAATTGAATGTCAAATTAGTTCTTATATTAAAGATTGGAATAGTATCATGTAGGTATTGAAAATACGCATATCACTATAATTCAAACCAAACTTTCTATCCCTTTTTCGGTAGAGCTCATTCGGACTTAAGCTTTGAAAGAAACCCGCTAAAAATATCAACCCACAAAGAGTTCAATAGGGCAAACGTGTTAAGGCTACAATAAATTGGCTAATAACAAATCTGTATAAAAAATGCCCTAATGAATAATCTTTACCTAATAGTCTTATTTAGAGCTTAAACTATTTCTTTTTCCGTTTTTTAATGCCCTCTTTTACTGTTATAATTATAAATAGATTAGTTGCAAATTTGCTTCAAAAATTTTCATTTTTAAAATTTCTTTTGTACAAATTTATCAAAAAAAATTTAAAATTTATCAAAATTATATTCTCCCATTAAAAACATTAATGATCAATGTCATTATTTTAACGGTTTGTTAATTTTTAATAATAGCAAAAAATATTCAAATGAGAATTTTTAAAAGCATAAAAGGGTCAAATGATACATTTATTTTAAAAAATTTAATAAGATAATCTATAAATAGAACTAAAAAATAGTCTTTCTGATTTATAAATAAGACTAGAGGAGTATATTTGAGAATAAGTTATAACAGTGTATTAGATCATATTTATAAATATCTTATACATATTTAATTTATTTACATACTTTTTCTTGAATTTAAGATAAGAGGTGATTTTTCTGTAAAATATTCCCAGATTTTCTTTTATTTTGCAGGATAAAAAACCAAGAAAGAGAATGGACAAAGAAAGAAGAAAATAAGTAAGAAAATAATAAAGGAAAGAAGGAGTCCATGTGATGCGGGTGCCACGCTCAAAGAAGCGGTGCAATGCAACAGTGCATACCTGAGGGCTGGGGTATACGAGAGGAGATGATAAAAAATAAATAACCAAAAGCTTGGCTGCTTGGGAATATGAAAAGTCATTCTTGGTAGGGACGATTTTATTGTACTGTGAACTAATTTTCAATGCAGCATTTTAGTAATTACTCCCTCCGTCCGTTCCATGTTATAAAAGACAAATAATTAAATTACGTTAATAAAAAAAACAGTTAAATTAAAGTAGTTGAAGACAATTAATATTAAAAAGTATAATGTTTTTTCTAATAATGCCCTCATTAATAAAAAGAGAGAGTATGAGAGAGAACAATTAAATTATTAAAAGAAATAAAAGTGGGAGGGAGAGAGAGTATGAGTTGGAAACAAAATAAATAGGGGTAAAATAGAAAATCAATACAAAAAATAGATACAACTTTTAAGTGTTTCTTATATATAGAAACATACTATTAGCATCAAATGTCTCTTATAATAAGGAACGGAGAGAGAGTACTTTTCAAAATGTATTTTGTTTAACTGTTTATGGGGGTCTTCGTAAAAAAGATTAGGATTTGTTGTCAAGTCAAGAATTCAAATGGGCAGACACTGTTTGTCTTGGTGATGTTTCCACCGGCAAGCATCTCTCATGCAAATTCTTCATCTATCACTGGTTCACTGATAAGGCCGTGGGTTCCCGACTCCGACAGTTAACTTTGGGGCATAGTTCTTCTACGGAATTGTGCTCGTTACAGTGTCGGCAGGAATTTGTTTCCATTAGGATATAATTGATCTCTTTACGTACTAATCATCGGAGTGCTGTTTGCAACCCTTGCGTCCAAAATGCTTCGTGCTACGCCCAACAATCTCCTTGCAAGAGTAGCAGTAATAGCTTTGGCATGCCCAACAAAGCATGTGGTTATTGTTTCCAACCTGTTGAATATCCCAAAAATGGGAAAAAGGAAGAAAGATACTAGTAATGTCAAGAAGAGTTGTGTTTCAACTGAAAATTCAGACAAAGTCAATGGGAGTAAGATAGTCTTCTTTGTAATGTAAAATTTGACCACCAAGTTACATGATTCTCTTCCTTGGCTTAAGGAGTTCAATTTACACATCATGACCACCACTCTCTAAAGTCTCTAGCACATAAACGTGCGAGTGTAATTTTTTAAGTTTATGAAGGTTTTACTTCAACTTTATTTCTCCAAAACCTTCACACAAAAAATGCACCATGAATGTTCCAAAAAAAGTAAGCAGGACTAAAAATCTAGCAGATATGCTTTACGCTAAAAACCAATATGAAAAAACGTAACATGTAGAATGTTCTTCAAAGTAGTACAAATAGTAGGTAAAAGCACAATATTTGTATAATAATATTTTTGAAGGATTAGAAAACCAATGAGAGACCGCCTGATGTTTCTTTTTACTAATAGCACAGATGATGTAAACGGTGGTAAGAAAAAATATTTTTTAGATTCAGAACTGCCTTTCCTTTTTAGTAATAGGAGGGATAAGAACAATTAGAAAACTTTACACACCTTCGCATTAAGTTGACGACAATTAGGACATCTTTGGCCGCGATGAAAAAGAGAGTTGCACTTGTAACTGTCCTACCACCTGACGGTGATTTGTGCTTTCTTGCCAAACCTCTAAGTACAAGTCACATGACCCATCCCTTGAATGAATAAAAAATCAGATCTATGTGGACCCTGTGTATTAAAGAATTTTGCTCTTGCAAAAGGAAATTCAAGCAATTTTCATAACCAATACCTGAAATGCCCGTAAGGATCATATTTATCATTGTTTTGTTGCAGCGAAAACAGAAAGGTTGGCCACAATTACTACACACCATTTTATTGCAACCTCCACTTCGGTAAATAGCCACTTGACAAGAAGGGCACATCCTACAATCACGATTAATTTCTTTGATGCTGAGCATTTCATTAATCTTTTCACGTTCTCTCAACTTCTGAGCTTCCTTTAGTTGAGATGAATTCTGACGCTCCTGTAACAAACAACAATCAGGAAACTGGGAACATTAAGTTCTTCAGCTCATAGCAAAATTATAAATAACCAGCCATAAAAGCTAGACATTGTACATAAGGCTGAGACAAAAACCAATTGGTAAAAAGTCGGGAAATTAGCAGCATTGCATTGTTCAGTACATGAGAAACTATATATAAGCAAAAAATCCCAAAAGTGTTCTGAAAAAACCATTGTTACATTAGAAAGGCGAAGATGATTAAAAAGGTTGTTGGAAGATTCCTTGCAACTCTTAAAGTAACAAGGCGATGATAAAATAAAGATTGCACATGTATATCAGATTATTCAAATTATGTGAGAAGAACCTACTCCATTTTATTTCGGAGTGGGCAGTGGAGGGCTGCTAAAGTCAAGAACTAGACATGAACCCATAATACATACTTGCAAAATTTGAAGCTTCGTGTCTAGGGTTGTGCATGCTATGCCAATGTGGCGTCGCTCCCGGCAAAGGGTACAAAAGCTAAAGAAGCATTTAGAGCATTGAGCATGTTGTTCATCATCTTTTATACAAGGCATTTCGCATCTTGGGCAATAAGCAACATCAGACATTGATGCAAGTGTTTTCTCCAACATCAAGGATTCCCATCGTTCATACTCTTTGCCATTGAGCATGCTTTTTAACAGTGTTGGTGGAATCATAACAGGACATTTTGAATCGGGACATTGAAGATTACCGATGGTGCCTTCTTTTACTTGCATTTGAGCAAAGGTTTGCAAGCATTTCAAGCAGAAAAAATGCTGGCACGGTAACTGAGCAAACTCCAAACCTAATTGACAAAAACGAAAATATCTAGTTCCCAATTCTTCTAAGTGATAGATAAGAAATAAGTGGATAGCAGTCATACGTGTAACAGAAAATAATATATAAAGTGGAAAATCAAACTTTTTTCAAGCCAACAGCTTGAGGGGAATTGAGAGATGTGGAAAGAGGTACAAATGCATTGAATTAGCTCAGGTAGCTTAGAAACAGATAAAAGTGATATGGGAAAAAGACAGAACACACAATAATTACAGATTTGATTAAGCTATCAGACACAATATTTTTAAGGAATTAAAAGAATGTGTCGTCTAACGCATTAAAAGCAATAATAATTGTACCTGTTAAATTGATGAAATGAACAATAATTCACATTACACTCCTAAAAATAAGCTAAGTCTACAACAGAGAATAGAGGGAATTGGTAAGCACAAGTGAGTGAGCAGGTAAGTATTATCTGTGGGTTCTATCGTAGTCTATCGTAGCTGGATTCAGTAATTGAATCCTTAATAGTAGTAAGCAATTAAACAACCCGTATTAATTGATACACAAAATATAAGAATCACTCTCTCGAACGAGATTTAACTTTGAGTATTGTTCAATACATGCACAAACAATGGGCAAAAGGGGATCATCCCCCAAAACTATTAGAAACAAGATAAAGTGATATAGGAAAAAGACAGAACACAATAATACAGATTTGATTAAGCTATCAGACCAATATTTTTTAAGGAATTAAAAAGAATGTGTCGTCTAACGCATTAAAAGCAATAATAATTTGTACCTGTTAAATTTGATGAAATGAACAATTTCACATTACACTCCTAAAATATAAGCTATCATGAGCTAGTCTACAACAGAGAATAGAGGGAATTGGTTTAGCACAAGTGAGTGAGCAGGTAAGTATTATCTGTGGGTTTTCTATCGTAGGCTGGATTCAGTAATTGAATCCTTAACTTAGTAGTAAGACAATTAAACAACCCGTATTAATTGATACACAAAATATAAGAATCACTCTCTCTGAAAGGAGATTTAACTTTGAGCATTGTTCAATACATGCACAAACAATGGGCAAAAGGGGATCATCCCCAAAATATTGAGAACTCGCTACCTGCTGAGATAAAAAAATAATCCAAATGACAAGTAGTATACTTGAAACTATAATATATTATGCGACATAAGCTTCTTGTATGCTGTAAGAGAAGGCAGCAGAAGGATCAGATTTTGTTAACAGTGCCAAGTAAGTAATGCTTCTGTATCAAAATACGTTTACCTTGACCATTCGAAACACTAATTAGCCAACAGTACTAATAGTGACCACAAAATTCTGCCAGGCTAAAATAAGAATTACCTGCATATACATCGAAACAAATGCAACATTCATGCATTTCTTTAAGGAAGTTTCGTGATGTCTCTCCTTGTTGTAACTTCGTAATGCAGGAATATCAAAATCTAGGGACACAGCTCTTGAGACTGCACGTTCATCTCCAGCACGTTTCATGCCATAATGACCAAGCATAATCTCTTTATCAAATTCCAGATGAGAAAGAGAAAAACCATGTAACCATTCTACCCAATGGTATATAACTTCCTGCCCTTGCTGCTCAGTCCATATTGAATCTAACATGAAGCATAGACTAGAAATTCTTGTGGGGTCTAACCACCGAACAGAAATTATAAAATGCTGCGATTGATGGCTTGGGTATGACTCTGGCAATAAACATGTCAAAATAATAGGTGGAAGATACTGGACTTTAAAAGAGTATGAGAAATCATCTGCATTGCTGCTTGCAGTCTTATGCTCATCAGAAGAATTCAGCTTAGCTGTGATGCCAATTTCATTTAAAACTTCAATGTGTATGTGTATCTGCGAAAGCGAAGGGGAATAAATACACAATCCGGGGTTAGATGTCAGACAATTTTCTGTTAAAAAAAGGAAGAAAAACAGAATTTTCAGACTAGTCTACTGTGTTACTGCAAGACCTGAAAACAACGGAGACCTTTCCATCTGTCCAGGCTGAAGACATTTTCTCCATAAATCGACTCCAATGCAAGCAACTGGGGGAAAAGAATTTATCGAGACAGTTCCAAAATTAAGACAATAATCATCAATGACATGATATTTCTATATCTAAATCAGTGTTTCAAAAAGAAGTCAAAAAGATTTAAAATTCTGACTTCCAATGCAATTTTAATGGAATTCAATCGTCAATCCCATAATTAAAAGAAGTCCGAGGATACGCTTGACTAGAATGAATATGACAAGGTAAATTGTGCACTTCATCACCTCATCTGCTTGCAATTGATCATTTATACTCAGTTGTTCCTCTGACAATTCCGGTTCCCCTACATTCCTCATTAGCTGATCCAGTCTACTGTAAATACCATTCCCTTCCTTCTCTGAATCATCCACATGATTATCTTCCCTCTTATCTTCTACTTTGCTCTTCAGCTCCAAATGGTGCTTGCTCCCCGAGTCCAATTCTCGCGGGATACCAACCTCCTCGCGAATACTTAATTCTTTAAGCGCAAGATCAACCTCTGAATTAGAAGAATCCAATTCAGATTTCGGGACGAAGCGGAACTTGAGCTTTCCGCCCTGATTCCTCCGCTTCCGCTGAGAACCGGGAGGTTGGTGGTTCTTGAATGTACCATCTGTTGCCATTGACACCCCTGAAAGTCTGAAACAAAACAGTAAAAACGCCAAGCGCCAAACAGTAAAAATGCATTCATTTTATTAAACGGATTTGTTCTAATAAAAAGTTAATCAAAATTCAAATTTTAGTGAAAGATATGCTCATATTTTATACCTGATCACATATTCAACAAGCTCTAATAAAAAAAATACTTGTGCACGATAAAATATAAGAAAAAAATTCATAAAAATCAATGTTGTTTTTTTGCTATGGTTTTGTTTGATTCATTATCGAGTTGATCTGATTTAAATAGATTTAATAGATAACAGAAGATAGATAGATTAAAAGAATCAGGTTCGTTTTAAGCATATCTTATCAATCATTATTAGTCTTTTCATAGCGAGAAACACTTTTATGTGATGCATGCAAGCACCCCTGAATTTTTTCGATGGAGCAACGTAGTGAAAATGTGGCAATGTGGATTGGCCGTACAAACGGTCAATGTTTAATTATGCTGAGGTGGCACACCATGTGCCATCCACCTCACTTTTTAAGTCAGATATTTGGAAAAAAAAAGGTTCCCACCTGGACTAATCCCTCGACTCCGTCTCCCCTCATCCCTATCGACTCTCCGGCCAGCCTCCTCCTCCATCGGGTTCATCTCCACCGCCACTCTCAGTCGCCGTCAAACCCCCTCCGCCATCGGGGTTCGAAGCCCCATCATCATATCTCTACGAACCACTCTTCATCAACGCCGTCAATATTCCCCATGCCTTAATCGATCTCTTCCTCTCACTCCCTCTGGCGATTTCTCGCCCCAGATCTATCGATCTCTGCCTCTCAGCTCTCTTCATGTGACAGCGGTCTCCGTCTGACCTCGTCGTCGAAGAACTCACAGCTCGCATTGTTCCGCCCCAAATTCGATGAGACCACCGTGCTTTCTGTCAACACTCTAATTTCGTCCGGGTATGCGTGCATTTGATTTCCCCTTCTTTTGTTCCCCGCAATGGATGTAGTTCTTTTATAATTCCTTCTTTTAGATCTTACTTTCAAGGTCCTTAAATTTAATCCTGCAAATATATTGATACTGTTCTTTGCCTTTGAGTGAGCTCTAGCCCTCTACCGCCGGCTGATGCACTGCGTGAAGTCTTAGTTCACATACTGGTTTATTGACACGATCTTGACCTAACTCAGTATCCCACTCATATAATTTGTTCTTGTATTACATTCTGTTATCAAAATATATTTTGCCGGGGATTGAGTCTTAGCCTATTCGCGACAAAAAACTAAAAGGAATTTTGTGTTAAATCTCCATTTTTTCCCCTTAAGCTAATCTTCTATACTTGCTCTTGTAAAATCAGCGGCCTGTTTTTTCAGTCATTGTGATTGTTCTAAAATTGTACTTTTTGTTCTCTCTCACATCTGGGCAATTACATCATGTATTCATCATTCGATTTGTTGGCAATCAAAATTTTACAAAATTTGTGTTTAAATGTACCCATGTTTTAGTGTAGGTTGTTGTTGACTCACAAATCAATGTGAAATTATGATACTAATTGTTTTTCCTCCCTTTGCTTTTTTTTTTTTTTTTTTTTTAATTCTGTAGGGAAGTTGTCATTATACCATTGATTGAATACTTGAAGATGCTTATGATGGGAAAAGGCCATGGATGCAGTTTCTCTGGAATGGTTTCCATCAGTACCTTTTCATGTACCATTGTTATTACGTTGATCTTGGTTCGTATTCTTTATGTTATATTATGGGGTGGTAGACCATATAGTCGACGAGCTACAAGACCTCTTCAGCACCCTAATTGTTTTAGGATCAGGTTTGAAACTATGCCGTTTGTCCTGTTCTTCCACTCATAGCAAAGCAATATATGGTGATTCTATCTGCTTGCTTACATTTTTATGCTACTGTAGGTGGTCATACGGCTGAGATGCTTAATCTCCTGGGAGTGCTACAGAAAGATAGGTTTACCCCAAGATTCTATATTGCTGCTGCCACAGATAATATGAGTCTTCAAAAAGCTCAGTTGCTGGAGAACAACCTTGCAGCTGAGGTACTGTTTTTGCTGGTTTGAAAAGTCCCTTGAATCTAATGAACTCAGTTGCATTTATTTTTATCCCTCTTGAAAAAACTTTTTTCCCAAGTTGCAGAGTGAGGGTTATATCCTAAAAAAAGGCTTCATTACCATGAACCTGGAAGGGCGCCTGTTGTCCATTGGGATTGTTGATTATGAGGGATAGTTCATGCAGTTTTTCTTTGCTTCCACATTTGTGTCATTTTATTGATGCCCTATGTTACCAGTCCCATATGCCTCCAGTTCAAGGTGTAGTGTGGCCGTAGGAGATTGAGAGATCAAATGCCATAATTTTTTTTTCTTGTCCGGTGATGTTTTCATGAAAATTGCATGATAACCTTGAAGTTCCATCAAGTTCTTTTTATGTGGGATAATTACACTTGACCTATTATGGATATGATTACTAAGAGGTCATCTTGCTGATGCTTGATTTAAAGAATTTTTGCTCTTCCCTTGTAGCTTTTCTTGTGGATATTCAGGGATGAACTACCTGTTACACATAGTTTGGCTGTTGTCAATCTTGGTGGAAACTATTATCACTTAAAATTGCTATTGAAATCGGAATTTTCTGTATGCTTTTTGCTGTTCCTTCTAGATAATTCCCTTCTATTGAGGTGCAAATGCAATGTGCATCCTGTTGAGAGGCTGATGAATTTTTGTTTGGTATCACCAGTTTATGGATTCTGATTAAAAGTAGGTTTCACAGCAGAATGGAACCAGGGTTCCCGATACTGCTCAGTTCATGCAGATATATCGGAGCAGGGAAGTTGGTCAATCATATATAACCTCAATTTGGACAACTTTGATTGCAATGATGCATGCATCGTGGCTAATGATTAAAACTAGGCCCCAAGTGGTATTGTGTCTGTTCTTATATGCTTGATTCCTCTTGCTGGTGCAGTCGTCCTACTAGTTTAGAAATTTTTTTACTAATTCTGTGCTGCTGTATCCAGATTCTTTGCAATGGACCTGGAACTTGCATTCCCATCTGTGCAATCGCATTCTTATTTAAGGTTCTTATTCCCTTCCTTCTGTAATTTTTCCCATAATTTCTTCCATTAAATTTTTTTATCCAGGTAACATTTGTCTTTGTAGAACTTAATTGATAAATAAAGTTGCTATTGATGTGCGGATAACCTACTGCACAGGTATTGGGGATCCGGTGGTCATCAATTTTCTATGTTGAGAGTATTGCAAGAGTTAGAAGACTTTCCTTAAGTGGCCTGCTCCTGTACAAGTTCCGGGTGGCTGATCAGCTTTTTGTTCAATGGCCTCAGTTGCAAAGAAAATATCCACGAGCTACATATGTTGGTCGTCTGATGTAGTTTATTAGTTCCTGATGCCATTTAATCCAGCATTTTTGTTTTGTTTCTTCCAATTACATTGCAATTATTGGCCAAAAAGTTGTATTTCGATTACAATGATATATATTGTTTGAAAACTTGTGTATGTTGTTCCTGCTATAGCTGCAAGTTACGTTATGAAAAAACTAAGGATGAAGAGATGGTAGAAATGACAATCAGCTCGCATTAGGTAAAAATGTGAGAATGGAGAGGCAAAGACTAGTCTGAGCTAGGCTGAGTTGTGAGCTGGCATAAGGCTGTTATGGAGGGCGTCTTTCTGGAGGGAGGTCTGAGTATATGCATATTCTGATGAATTTGGTGCAAGAACTAACTCCTTACTCGAAGAAGATAATTTACTTTGTAGTTTGTTTTCAGTTCTTTCCCCCTCGCCCTTTGTTTTTCATGTATCATCTTTGAATGGAATCAGTAAAGCCCAAATGTCCCTTGCATATTTGTTTCTTTGTTTTGATTGGATAAAGAATTGCGCTATGACGAGTCCCAGGTCAGACTCTGAACTATACAGATGGAGCCTCTGCCTAGAGGTTGAACATCATCTCCGAGATACACCCGAAACACATGGTTCAAGTAGTGGATCAGGTTTTAGAAAACAAAGTAATAAAGGTAATGTAATCGGTAAATATGAACTTTCTCTGTATAATTGTAATATATTTTTGGCAACTCATTTTCGTTGTGTGCAGAGCAAGAGTGTAGCCAATTAGGAAAATGGAACGGAATGAAGTTTCCATATAGAGTAGGGACTAATAATCACCAATAAATTATATCATACTACAAACGCGGGTATCTCATGTAGTGTAAACCTCAACATTTTAATCTTTCTTTTTTCTCTTCATGATTAAGAAAAATTGTAAGCAGGCATTTTTAGATAAGTGTCCCTGTTACTGTCTCTTTTACAACTTAGGGCGTTAGACAGAGACGAGAGACATAAGATCTAACCATACATGGGATGTTGCAATACGCAGGGGTTCTCATAAGGTTTGAATTATCAACTACACCTTTTGTGTCGGCATTAAATTTAGGAAGATCTTAGATCCCGTTTGGTAGAAAATTATGGATAGAAATTGGAATTGAGAAAATCTATTAAAAAAGTATTTAGCGTAAGAGGTTGTTTGTTATATGGGATTAGCGAAACCCTTGTATGTGGGATTGAGGAATACCATGAAGAAAGTGGTATTTTCTAATCCCATATAACAAGTAATTACTCATACTGAATACTGTTTTAATAATTTTTTTTAATTACAATCGCAATCCTTATCTTTTATTTTTTTAATGCTTTTTGCCAAACGGGATATTTATGCCTTGTGTTTTGATTTAGGTTTCAGACAAGAGACTCAGTCGGTAAGCTTTCAAATAGATCCCTATCGTTTAGCAATTAAATTATTGTCTGCAGTTGTATAACGAAGATTATGCTGCCAGTCACGTGATAATAGTAAACTGTCTCTTCTATGTTTTCATTCAAGGGGAAGTGCATCAACTGGCCTTCAAGGTCGAGTCACAACCACCATTTTAAATCACACTTTGATACTTTTAGACGCAGTTCTTCTAGTTGTTATTAGCTATACATGTGCATCAATACAATTATTGCCTTATATTTTTTCAAACTCCCAATACCTTTCAGTCACTATAGTCACACGTCAAATTTTGGTTCATAGGACAGATTTTTTAATTTGCGTCTTCCTCTTTCTCATTCTTCTCGTGGTTGCTCACATCAACTGATTGAGACTGATAGTATCTGGTACTTTGGATCTGAGCTTATCTTTGATATAGCCCCACATTTTTTTGAGAAAGAGAATATTTTACTTTCTCTGTGATGAGTTTTGATCAATGAAGAAGAGCCAGGTAGGGCAAAGAATTAAATATTGAAATTACTCTCTGCAATTCTCGTACCAGCCTTCTTTTAATGAGGATAGCTATGTTTCTTCTACCAGAACCAATGTGTGTGTGAGAGTGTGTGGACAGGGACAGTGGGGGACACTGAAACATTGTGCCAGTAATGACAAGTATATATGGCATTGTTTATGTATTCATCTTTTATTACGCGAGGAAAATGCAGTTGAGTTAATGCTGCTGAAAGGTTAACTTCAATTGTAGGACCGATTTGTTTCTTCAAACTGGGAGGTTAGGAGGTATTTATGCTGATTGCTACTTATTGATCTTATCTTTTCGGGCAAGCTTTCTGTTAATATAGTTCAATTTTCTGCATATATAACCCTTTTTTCTTGTCATCTTGTTTGGTGAACTGTTCTTTTTTTCCTCCCTGCATGTACTATTTCAGGTGAATTAATATTGTGTTTCAGTTGACGGTTTGGGCTATTTTCTGCATCTTTTAGACCATCAACTCAATTAGATTTTATGATTCTACGTCCAAAAATCCAACTTACATAGGAGTATTTAGCATAAAATCCGCATTATGTATGATCAACAACTTCATGCAATATATACCCCTCTGGTGCTAAGTACTCTGTCGGATTCTGTATATGCCTATATGGAGCCTTTTCAACCAAATGACATATATCAATAAAAGTTAGTTAAATGGTTAAAATCGTACATAAAGGTAACTCAAATGTTTCACTGCAACATTAAGCAATTACTATTGCGTTTGCTCCTTTCCAAAGCATAATGACTTAGCATCCTGTTGTTTTTTAATTTTCATTTGTAGAAGTTTCTCATATATTAGGAGATCATTAAATAGATAAAATTTAACACTTTTATTCTTATTAAATAGCTAATATGCATTTTCTTACTCATCTCTCTCTTCATCTTTATATTTTTCTCTCTCAATTAATAGGTCTAGAGTTGGAAATGAAACATTAAAAAAGGAACAAGTGACAAATAAAAAGGACCAAAATTTCTTCCTATAAATAACAATTAAAAAAGATCAGAGTGGTATTTTACAATTTGGGGGTAAAACCTAAAATTTTATAACTACTAGAAAATACTATCTTATGCCTTTAATATAAAAACTAGTTAACTAATTTGAATAAATTAATTAAACTAGGTAAGTTAGTTATTTGTAATAGATAGGTATTATCTTTCTTAAAATATCTTTACTAATTAAATATATTGGCTAGAACTACTATCATTATAAGTATTACCTTGAAAAAAATAGATAAATATGAAAATAAAATGAATTAGAATCTTATATTTAAGACTAAAATAAAAATCAAACAAATTCTCATATTAAAAAACAAAAGTAGCGTGAATACATTGCAGGATAAGCCCTTTTATATTATCAAACAAAAAAGTTCCCGGAAACCTCTTATAGAATGGATCATCTTCACAGGTAGTGCTTCCTCTGATTCTATTTGCTTATCCTCATAAGAAAAAACACACCGACTAAAAAGAAGAAAGCAAAATTTATTTGTAATACGAGTCCCTATTTACAGTTTTGACTTACTTGAAACTTAGTTTTTTTTTAATAGTTTTTATAGTTTTACCTATTTAAAACTTTAATTCCCAGACTTTATGAAATATATAAATTTTTTAAAAACTATATAAAAACTATACAAATTGAATTATATTAGTCGAAGTTTTGGTATTGAGTTATAGCTAATACAAAATTATAATAATGAAGTTGCACTAAATTGAAATTTAGAAATTAATTATAACTTAATCAAAATTACAAGGACAGGAGGATTAATTTTGCTGAAGAGATAATATAAAAAAGAAGGTTTGTTAATATTGCACATTGTCCAACTACCAAATAATGGTTTCAGAAGTTCCGTTTAAATGTAGAAAATTCAAGTTATGATAGATTTTTACCAAAAGCATTGAATGAGCACACATTTCTTGGTCGGCTCCCTTGTTGCATTAAATGCTTTCCAACAAACGTCAAACGGTATAGGCTGAATTTATCTTTTTTGTAATTATCAATAGGGTATAAATTTATCTTAAAAATTTCCTTTCTAAATTGTTAGCATTTAGAAAATTTTTTATTGTAAATTTATTTGAAAAATTTAAAATAGTAAATATTTTGGTACATATAGTTAAAAATATTAATAATCAATATAATTTTCTTAACAACAAAAGTGATATTGCTATGATTTTAAATTTTTAAAATAAATTTGCATAAAAAAACTTTCAGGTACTAACACTTCTAAGTTCTAATTTTCATAATAAATTTACATCTTGATTCTTTATCACCTTTTTTTTTCCATTTATTTTCTCACTCGCTTACTTTTTTTCATAAGTAAGATATATTTGAAAAAAATTACATCCGAAACATTTTTATTATATTTGAAAAAAATACATTTGTAACTTTTAGAAGGATAACTATTTTTAACGGTTGTTTTAAGAATGGTAAAATAATTCATTTGATCTTAAATGTCGGGCTTAATTGAAATGTTATTTAAAAGATTTGTTTCGATTGTAAATATAAATTTTTAATTTATTTTATTTTTTATATTTATCATTTTTCTCCCCTTAAAACTATCTTTATCAGTTGCACATATCAATATGTGTAATTAATAGACAAATTTTTTAAATATAAATAATTTAAAAATTATTTTAAAAATTAATACACATTTTTATATAAATAATTGATTTAATTAATTTTGTAAACATATATAAATTGGTTATTACTTTCTACTATATATGAGATAGGAATTAGTGGAGTTAGACCTACTTAATTAATTTAAATATATTAAATAAGTCAGATAAATTAATTAATTACAGTAAATATGATCTGAGAAGAAAAAAAGAAATAGAAGAGATAAAATGATTTAACTTCATATTTAAAGCATAATCTAATCCTCCATATTAGGAAGCAACAGAGTAGTTAATTATCCAACATTTAGTAATGTTATTAATTGATGGATAATATGTATGTGCTAAAATATCTTGAAATGAGGCATATAATGATTTTAATGAATCTCACTTCAAAACAATTTATCGAATAGGAAGTTTCTTATGGCACAACAAGTTATTCATCCATTTTAAGGGGGTGATTTTACTCCAAATGAAATTAATGCTTAAGATGAATTTATTTAATACTGCATGGACGTTTGATGTCTTCTGAATTACTAAGAATTATTCACTCAAAAAAGAATTACTAAGAATTAAAATAGCAAGTGTTGGTATTTAAAAAAAAAAAAAAGGGAGAGAGCGCGCGTGGTGGCAAAATGTCAAACACGTTCATATGTACTTCAAATAACCATTTCACATTCACAAGATCAAGAAAGATGGTTAAAACTAATCAATATGTTTAAGACTTTTTTTAAGATACCCTTATTAATTGTTTAACATGAAAACTGTGTGTTTTTAATTATATTAATTTAATAAAAGTAAAAGAAAATAAAAACGGGTAGGTTTTTCTTGTCATGACTCACATATCATTATATCTTTTATAAAAAAATTTCAACTCACAGTCTCACAATTAAAAAAGAAAAAAGAATCTTAAGCAAAGTGCTTTGTGTCATTTGGGTTACAAAGTCTAGATAATAATAAGTAATTATTATTTAAATTTAAATTCTAAGAAAAAATAATGAATTAAGATTCGAATCCCAAAAAAATACTCATATTTAGTGTTTAAAAATGCTTCAAACAAATAAACAAATATGGTATGAAAAAACTTTCATTTAGTAGCTCAAAAATATAAGGAGGAAAAAAAAAAAAATTTTCTTGCTTCAAAGGAAGGGGCATAGACGGATGTTTCGGCGGAGTCTACCATAAAGGTTGAGAACTGCTTATGGAACAAAGGAAATTTGAATATTTGGGTGATTTAGGTGGAAACAAATAATTAGTTTATCAAGAATAATGCAACAAAGAGCTTAAATTTTTTTAAAGAAAATTTTAGTTCTTTCATTATTGGATATTAAAAAAAAAAAAAGCATATATACTGCATTTGTCTTTTTTGAATTTAGGGTTTACTTAGGTAGGTTTTATTGCAAAAAAAAAAATCTGTATTCCTCTCTACCTTATTTATAACAACTTACTTTCTTTGGTTTATATGCTAACCCATTTTTTGGGAAATCATGTTGAATTGGTACCACACAAATTAATGTAAATATATAAATATTCAAAGCATATTTAACTTAATGACACACTTGACGTTTGTTCTTCGTACTCGTGACAGCTTTTTGAGAGTTATCAACCAAAACACGTGGGGATGCCTATTACTGTGTTAGTCGGTGGGTACTTGTTTTTCAAATGTATCGTCCCTACTCATCCATCGCATTAATGGGTTATGATTTTTTGTTTAAAGATTTTATTGGTCATAAAGATTTGAGCGGAAATACTAGTTTTTTTTTTTTGTGGGATGAAGTCCCATATAATACTGGTATTTTATGTGTATAAAAATAAGACTAATAACATTTTTATTTTTTTAAATTTGATTTCATTTTGAAATTCCTAAAATTTTAAACCAACAGTTTTAGTTCATAAAATTTGACTTTATTTTGGTCTGATTTTAGATTTTTGGTCTTTGAAACAAAAAATAAAATCAAAATGAAAATAAATTTCAGGGATTAAAATCATTGATTTCAAATTTTAGAGATCAGAAATTAAAGATATTATTAACTCATAAAAATCTATTAAATTCTTTTTACTGATAAACTTTTCATTGATTTCCCCTTTTAATATATAGCTTGAAATTCCATGCCCCTCCATGATAATTGATCCAGAGATAAATTAATAAAAAAATAAATTATATTATTCATGTATCACTAAAAGGTGTTTAATCTTCTTAAATTAAGAAAAGACAAGCATATTAAATACATATACTCATACAAGATACCTTTTCATCTCATTATAAAGAAAAACTTTTACAGGGCTATGGGGTTATGCCACGGGACTTTTTTTTTTTTTGGGGGTGTAAATATGCTGTTAGCTTTTAATTATGAGGAAAACAGATTTTATATTTTATATTATTACCTATTATCTGGAAGCCCAACTAATCATTTAAATATCATTCCGAAGTGGCTACACTAATCTGAACATGATCCTAAAATGTGGAGTATCATAAATGACCGGGGCAATGATATTCTTTTTTTTTCTGGATATAGAAAAAGTTTAGATGAGTTGAGTCCTAAAAGCTTACTAAGACCAACATATACTTCCAAATTAAAAAAATGCTAATAAAAATACTTACAGCTGGGCAAGTGATATTTAGGTCTTGAAAAATAAATTTAGCGACAACCATATTGTAAGCTACTAAGCTGTCAAGAATAAAAGTTTCAGTTGGGAATCTATAAAAATAACCTGTCAAACTTAGAAATGTGTGCTTTATAATTGAGATTGCTGTGTAAATGGATGTTTAAAATTCATTTTTTATAAAAATTATTAAAAACCATTATTATTATTAAATTATGCTCTCCTAGTATCTAACAGAAGAGCTGATAATTAATTTGTAGATACTAAAAAATTAATTAAATTAATTATTTTCTTAAAAATCTGAGTTAATCTTCTTAAAATATTTTTTAATTAGTTGCGTTAAAATTATTATTCAATAAAACTCCTTAATATATCCAATCAATGTGAATAGTTTGAAAAAGATATAAATTGGAGATACAAAATAAGTTGAGATTTTATTATATTTAAAAAGAAAAGAAATCATTGAAGTAATTTTTTACATTTAGGTCGAGAGAATATACAAAATAGCCACTCTAGTTCCTATTATAAGTCACATTAACAATTAAGCCATTAACGGTCTTAACTTGATAAAATTTGTCAAATTTGTATTTACTAAAAAGGTCTCTGTCTATTTTTTTTTTAAAAAATCAAATTCACTTCTTTCTATCCAATAGAACTTGAATAGGAATAAAATGAAAAAAATAATTAATAACCATCCAAATAACTTATATTGGATATTAAAATTTTTGCCCAGTGACTTATAGCAGCTGCCGGGGTGGTAAACAATGAAATGTGTATTTTCGGTTTTTACTAAAAGAATTTCAGAAGAATTTGTAAAATTTAAATGGGAAAACTAATTTGGAGGTTCTTATAATTTTCATTGATTTTGAATTAGATCCTTGGGTTTTTTTATCTTTTTATTGGATCCTTAAACTTTTCACTGTTAAATCCCCTGCTGTTAAATAAGTAGTAACACTGTTATAAGTTTTTGTTAAGAAGCAGTGATAGACCTCTAAAATATCCCCTCCCCTTCTGTTCATGCCACTACGCCTCAACCCTTCCGCTCATGTTGGAACTTAATTAGAGACAGAAGGACCCAACCCCAACATCTCTGTGTGTGAGGAGTGAGATAAAAAAAAGTGACAAAAGTATGAGAGCCTCCTTTGTTTTAATACTAAAAAAACAGAGTAAGCTGAACCGCCCACTAGCAAAACAAGGCTACTGCTAATGATCTAACTACTATTGCAATCTCCCACACCTTCAAGAATTAATTAATATTTCCTGAAATCTTCACTATATATATGAATGTATATATAATATTATATTATGTGATTGTGAAATTTGTCATTTCCATCGAACCATTAACGTGCATATGGCTAGAGTACTCAATGGTGGACCTGAGCTTGCTTTTGATTTCCCAATAGCAATTATATATATTAAAAGCTCAAGTAGGCTTCTCAACATTTTTCATGCTTCGCCTAGGAAATCAATAAACACTGTACATACTCTAATTAAGTTCCACTATGGTGGAATGCTAGGGTCGAGTTGCAGTGAAAGGGCCGAGTCACAGTTGCAGGAACTGATGAGTGTGGGGATGTTGTTAGAAAACTTTTGTGGGTGACCCTCATTGTGTCACCTGGGCAAGGGATGACTCAAGCATCAAAATGCACCAAACAAGGTCAAGCTGAATGGTGAGGGAGATGTTTCGGAGTTGTATCGCTGCACTTTAAACGGAAATTTTTAACAAAGTTAATTCTTATTTAACGGCAAGGGCTAACAGATTTGACAATTAAAAGTTTAAAGACTCAATAAAAAGAAAAAAAGTTGAAGGAATTAAATCAAAATCAATAAAAACTACAAGGACTTCTAAATTAGTTTTTCCAATTTAAATTGGTTTTGTAAGTAACAGGGCAATCAAACTTGGATGCCTCGTTGACACGCACACCTGTGTTAATAAATACTCCCATCTCCTTTTCCGAGCTCAATGTGACATGTCAACCTCATTCTTGTGAGTTGTGACATGTCCACGTCACATGCTAAACTTCCTTCAACACAATCATAAAACCCGCCTCTGATCTTCTTCTTCGTCTCATCAAAATCACTCCTCCATCTCTATCCTGCATTAAAGTTTTGTCCTTCTTTTCTCTCCCATTCTCAGGCCAAAAGAAAATGTCAGACCGGACCACATTATCCGGTGTCTCACCGGAGGGAAAGAAGAACGAAGGAGGGAAAACGGAGAGAAAAGTTCCCCTGTTTAAGTTGTTCTCTTTCGCTGACTCCTATGATTATGTTTTAATGGCCATTGGATCTGTCGGTGCATGTGTTCATGGCGCTTCTGTTCCTGTTTTCTTCGTCTTCTTCGGAAAGATGATCAATATCATAGGTCTGGCTTACCTCTTTCCTCGACAAGCTTCTCATCAAGTTGCCAAGGTTTGATTATCTGAAAGCATTCTTTTCTCCGTACTTTCTCTGTTCCTCTCTAGCTTCTGCAAGTTTTAATAACTGTAGTAACCTGAAATTCTGCAGTACTCCTTGGATTTTGTTTATCTGAGTATAGCAATCTTGTTTTCGTCTTGGACAGGTAAATTAAACGAACTTGATTTATGTGATCTTAAATGAAAAACCCTCTTGAAAATTATTGTTTGATTCAGTTAAAAATCTCATCCTCTGTTTGTATATACAGAGGTGGCATGTTGGATGCACACTGGAGAACGACAAACAGCGAAGATGAGAATGGCTTATTTAAGATCAATGTTGAATCAAGATATAAGTTTATTTGATACAGAGGCGTCAACCGGGGAGGTTATTTCTGCAATTTCCGGTGAGATCCTCGTTGTTCAAGATGCTCTGTCTGAGAAGGTATCACTTGCATTAATGGCTTCCTCTTCCTTCTGCATTAAAACAGGGGAAAGAAAATATCGGAACACTAATGAACAAAGGCGATGGTTTTCTTTTTTTTCCCCGTCTTCTTCTGCTCCACTTTCAACAGTTGACCTCGTGTTTTTTTAATGAAAGCTTCGTTTTCAAAGGATTAATGGTTGCTTTCTGGGCGAGTTTCACAAGAAAAGAACTGTGTTTCTCTGACGCAAACTTTATGTCTCCTGTGTTAATGGAGCAGTGTGAATTCAATGCAATGGCAGTGACAGTATTGTTGGTTGGTTTTTAAGGTTCAGCTTTCAAGTCCAGCTGGATCACATGGCCTTAGACTCAGATATTTAAATTCACAAACTTCACTTGGTTTAATTTTGATCCAAGCATATTCTGAAATATCGTATATTCTTTTTTTGGCCAATGAAATATGGCATATTCAAGTGTTTGTAATAAAAATATTACTCCATCCTATCCTAAATTTAAAACCCATATTTTAGTATAAATTACACTATAAAATAAGTATTACATTAAAGACTATGAGAGTATTTGGTTAAGCATCTAAAACCTAAAAATAATGTTCAGCAAAAAAAAAAAAAAGCCTAAGAATATTGTCCTAAAACTTTTGAGCGATTCAAATTGTTGAGTTCTCATGCTCATACATTGTGATGAATAAACTACCATATTACTTTTCCAATTCTTAACATAAAACTTAATTGGTGAGATATTGATCTTATATGTAAAACTTATTTTATATGTTATCAGTTTTTTTCAAATTAATTCCATTGATATTTTCTTAACAATAATCAAGTAGAAGAAGGAGAAAAGAAATTAAAAAAGATACTTAGGGTGTTTTAGAAAAACATATCATGTTAATTAATTTAACTAATATCCTTAATATACTCAGATTAGTTAATTATATCTTAAATTAAAAACGAAAGGAGTGCTAGTTTTGAAACACATTACTCCTCCCCTATTAAGGTGCTAATTAAAAAGTTAGTTTTATTCTAAATATAATATTTTATTTATTTTATTTATCATATTTATTTTTTAAAAGTAATTTATTAAATTGTAAATTAATATATGATAAAATTACACATGAGTTTTTTTTTTAAAAAGATTAGTTTGTATTTGTTAAAATTAAGTAATTTATTTAACTTATTTAATTTATCTAAATTGATTTAGTGATTATTATTGATAAGATCAAATGCCTATCGGCATAGTCCTTAAGTTATTTTTTATTAATTTATTCTTAAAATTTTTAGTATTTTTTTTACCTGAAAAATTTGTAGCATCATTAATCAATTTCATATAGATCATATTCAAAATTAATAGAAGATATTTTTTTAAAAAAATTAAACCAGCTTGCTCACAAAAAAAAAATTTAAAAGCTAAATTATTCACTTTTTTAATTATTTGTGGGGACTATTATGCAATACTACCTCTAATCTAAATTTAAGACTAGTTGACAGTCCATATAAGACTATTGTACAATTTACTTTCTCTTTTAAATTTATAAAGTGTTCTAAAAAAATATTTTTATTGATTATAAAATATTTCTACTTAAATGTAGTTTTAATGTACATGATTGAATAAGGGTAGTTTAACAAAGTCAACACACATATTTGTTATCAATAATTAATTTAACTAATTTCTTTAATATTTTTTAATTTATTATTCAGCTTTTATTTTAAAGACCGAAATTAGTATTATATTAACAATTTTATCAAAAGCACCCTCACTCATCCTGGTTTGGTCCTCTCTCTCTCTCTCTCTCTCTGGCGGTTAATAACTGCCATTTCAAAGGCGCGAAAAAGAAACCTTTGACGGTTTGCGTCGTTTTTATGGCAGGTAGGAAATTTCTTGCACTACATAAGCCGATTCGTGGTGGGATTTATCATTGGGTTTGTCAGAATATGGCAGATCAGTCTAGTCACACTTGCGATTGTTCCCTTGATTGCCATCGCCGGAGGCCTTTATGCTTATGTTACCGTCGGACTTATTGCCGAAGTCCGAAAAGCCTACGTTAGGGCTGGTGAAATCGCCGAAGAGGTTTATTCTCAAAAACCTCCACAAAATTACGTATCTCGTTATTGTGGCCTGTTCAAATCCAAAGTGAATTGTATGAAAGGATTAGTACGTAGCTTCTTTTGGGGCGAAGTAGGAGTCCAGTCAATTTAATTTACTTTGTTTTTGTGGGTTTCAGGTGATAGGAAATGTCAGAATGGTTCAGGCGTTTGCGGGAGAAGAGAGAGCGGTGAGATCATACAAAGCGGCACTTGTGAACACTTATAAGAATGGCCGAAAAGCAGGTTTGGCAAAGGGTCTTGGACTAGGTTCCATGCACTGTGTCCTGTTTCTGTCATGGGCCCTGCTTATTTGGTTCACTAGTGTTATTGTTCACAAGAACATCGCCAACGGAGGCGAGTCTTTTACTACCATGCTCAATGTTGTCATCTCTGGACTGTAAGCATTTTACCTTCTGTTTCATGGAGACCCAGCCATCTCATTTTCTTCCAATGTGCATAATAATCTAATGGACAGTACTTTTATCTTCTGTCCTTTTGATTTAATTTGACCTAAGTATAAATGCCACTCTTTGTCGACACAACCGACATGGACGGAGTTACATTGGAGGATCAAAATTTGGACTTTCGTCTTCAGTCTACCCCTAATTATCTATTTATTTGGCTCCCCGAATCATCATAGTTTCTTCTTAAATACACTGATCACTTCAATTTTCTCTCAAGTACTATTCAGGTCTACCGGCCCCTGCCAGGGTTTTTGAAGTGGTCTATGTTACTCAATAGAGCTGTAATTGTTTTACGTAGATCATACAGCGATGCATTTTATTTTGCTTTTGGCCAAGCAAAAGCTTTCTACTGTGTTTGTCATAGTATTGATGAGTTACTTGCAACCAAGGTTCATTGTCATTGCAGTTGAGTTAAGTACGTCCAAAATTTGCAACTGAAAATGTAGCAGATGAGTAGTTCTTGAAGTACTTGAACTATATTATTCCTATGATTCAACTTCCAACGATGTCATATTCCTTCCATTGTTAATTAATGCAGGACCTCCTGCTTTATTACATTATGCATTATTTGCTTGTTAAGAAGTACAACTCATTATATATTTTCTTTGATCAATATGTTGCTAGCAATTATCCTGCAAATATTAATTTATCCAACCTATAATTGACATTATATCCGTGTTTGTTGTAATGAGAGTTTCAGACAGTTCCTATCATTACATAGTCTTGCAATAGCCTCAATATGCTATGTAGCTGTTAAATTAGCTTGAATTCTTGTTTATAGGTCATGGTTTTGCTTCTTAGGTCGCTTGGGCAGGCAGCACCAGATATATCTGCATTCATCCGAGCTAAGGCAGCGGCTTATCCCATTTTTGAGATGATAGAAAGGGAAACAGTAAGCAAAATCAGCTCAAAAACTGGTCGCAAATCAAGTAAATTGGATGGTCACATCCAACTTAAAGATGTCTGTTTCAGTTATCCATCTCGTCCTGATATAGTTATTTTCAACAAACTCTGTCTTGACATTCCACCTGCCAAAATTTTAGCTTTAGTAGGAGGAAGTGGGTCAGGAAAGAGCACTATTATATCACTGATTGAGCGCTTCTATGAACCCCTTTCTGGACAAATACTATTAGATGGGAATGATATTCGGGAACTCGATCTTAAATGGCTAAGAAGCCAAATTGGGCTGGTTAATCAAGAACCTGCCCTTTTTACCACTAGCATTAGAGAAAATATACTGTATGGAAAAAATGATGCTACTCTTGAAGAACTTCAACATGCCGTGAAGCTTTCAGATGCTGAGTCTTTCATTAACAATCTTCCTGAAAGGTTGGAAACTCAGGTAAGATTGATCATATAATTTATACATCCTTAACGTTTTAATGTTAAATAACATTTAGAAGTTTTTTTTGGTCCATAACGTAATGCCATATCGCCCGGCGTAGTTCTTGGTTCATCAGCATTTCTTCTTTCGAGGCATGTGGCCTTGAAGGAAGAGGGAACTAAAGGAATTTATTTTATTGAAATTTGAAAATCAAGTTGGTATATTAAAAGATTTAGGAATCTATTCGATGTCTATAGCATCTATTTGGAGAAATCTGAAGTGATTAATATTTCAGTTCGATGAAAGAAATTGCAGGGTGCAGACTGGAAAATATAAATGAACGTCAAAACTACAGATTGATGTGTAATAAGCGTAGATAATGCTTAAATTGTTAAACAAGTTTAAAGAATGGTCTTCATGACTCTAAAATTGTGAAACTTGATGGATGCGTTACTTCAAGAGGTAAGACTAAATAAGTGTATTTGGCAGGTTGGTGAGAGAGGGATACAACTTTCAGGTGGACAAAAACAAAGGATTGCAATATCTCGTGCCATTTTGAAGAACCCATCAATCCTTTTATTGGATGAAGCTACCAGTGCTCTGGATGCGGAATCTGAGAAGAGTGTACAAGAAGCTCTTGATCGCGTCATGGTTGGTAGAACAACTGTCATAGTGGCACACAGACTTTCTACAATTAGGAATGCAGATATGATTGCTGTTGTTCAGGGAGGGAGAATTGTAGAAATTGGTAACCATGAGGAGCTTATTTCTAACCCAAATGGCGCTTACGCATCTCTTGTTCAACTCCAGGAGAAAGCTTCTTCGCAAGGTCACCAGCCAGAGGGTTCTGCTCCCAATGTGGCAGCAAGGTACGTTATTCCCACTGGGGCACTTAAAAAGTTTGCATCTACCACAATTGCAATTAACATAATTGACGTATCTTTATCTTATCAACATGATTCAGCATATGATCTATGATTTATTGGCATCCTTCTATTTAAAGGTTATTGGCTTAATGTTATGCTTATTTGTGACAAGAATTGATTGATCCCAAAAATTTAAGCTCTTGAGAATTCACACACATTCCCTTCCACCACTTTCTACATGATCTATTACAGTTACAAATCCTCTAGCATCTAATTTATGACTATAAACTTCTCATCCTCATTGCATAAGGTACTCAAGAGAATTCTCGTGTACAACGAGCCTTAGCGGTAGTTTTCGGTCAGATGAAGAATCTTTAGGTCGCGTTTGTGCTGATGAAGTGGAAAGTGAAGACAAGTCAAGTCATGTTTCTGTAAAAAGGCTGTATTCAATGGTTGCACCTGACTGGTTTTATGGGGTTTTTGGCACCTTCGGTGCATTTATTGCTGGAGCTCAAATGCCACTTTTTGCTCTTGGAATCTCTCATGCTCTTGTGTCATACTATATGGACTGGGATACAACACGTCACGAGGTTAAAAAAATCACTTTCCTATTCTGTGGGGCAGCAATAGTGACTGTTATTGCCCATGCCATTGAGCATCTTTCTTTTGGAATCATGGGCGAGCGACTTACTCTTCGTGTACGAGAAATGATATTTTCTGGTAATGTGATTGACTGATGATCATTTGTCCCATCCATCGTCAACTTGTCTTAATTTAAAATGTTTCCTTTGAACTTCCATATGATGTTACAAAGCATTTGACCATAGCAGAGAATTTGCCGGGAATGATTTGTTAAACATTCTGATGTTTTATATATCTTAAGGCTTGGCTTGAACAGTGTTCATGACCAAACTCGATGATGAATTTGTTTTCTTTAAATTTCAAGTCTTAAAATTCCACATAGCTTTCGCAGATTCAAATTCAGTGGTCTCCTTATTTCATCTAACTCCATCCATTTATCTGGCTGCAGCTATTTTGAAAAATGAAATTGGCTGGTTTGATGACACAAACAACACAAGTTCTATGCTATCATCTCGTTTAGAGGCAGATGCAACTTTATTCCGAACTATAGTTGTTGACCGGTCTACAATTCTCTTACAGAATGTTGGTCTGGTTGTTGCCTCGTTTATTATTGCCTTCATGTTGAACTGGAGATTAACACTAGTTGTCTTGGCCACATACCCTTTGATCATTAGTGGTCACATCAGCGAGGTTTTCTCTTGTACCCAGTTTTCAAGGTTATGTCAGAAGAAACTAGCACATGTGTTTTGAGTCTTGATAACTTCCATTATTTCAGAAACTTTTTATGAAAGGCTATGGTGGCAACTTGAGCACTGCATATCTGAAAGCCAACAGGCTGGCTGGGGAAGCTGTCAGTAACATGCGTACTGTTACTGCATTTTGTTCTGAAGAAAAGGTCCTAAAACTTTATGCTGATGAGCTCGTCCAGCCTTCTAAGCTTTCATTTAAACGGGGACAAATTGCTGGCATATTCTATGGCATTTCGCAGTTCTTCATTTTCTCTTCTTATGGCCTTGCCTTGTGGTATATACTTTAGCATCATTCTTTCTTCGCTATGTTGTTAGATGATTTATTGAATGGTGGTTACTTTTGTGCTGAAGTTGACTTCCACTTTCATCAGGTATGGTTCAGTTTTGATGGAAAAGGAGCTGTCTAGCTTCAAATCCGTCATGAAGTCATTTATGGTTCTAATCGTAACTGCATTGGGCATGGGGGAGACATTGGCGTTGGCTCCGGACCTTTTGAAAGGGAACCAAATGGTCACCTCAGTTTTTGAAGTGATGGATAGAAAGTCAGGAATAGTGGCCGATGCCGGAGAAGAGCTTAAGATAGTTGAGGGAACAATCGAGCTAAAAAGCATCCATTTCAGTTACCCTTCAAGGCCTGATGTAGTAATTTTTGAAGATTTTAATCTGAAAGTGCCTTCAGGCAAGAGTATTGCCTTAGTGGGACAAAGCGGTTCTGGGAAAAGCTCTATCATCTCCCTTATACTCAGATTTTATGATCCATCGTCTGGGAGAGTGATGATTGATGGTAAGATTTTTGGCCAGGCCAGGCTTTATTGATTCTTAAATTTATTGCCTATAGGGGAAGGAAAAATTAAAATGAGAAAGAGTAAAATGGTCAAGGCCTATCACGCATTTGGGAAGTGGAGCATGCACAATTATATTCTATTAATCAAGAGAAGCACTTGATTACATTTTCAATATTGTCTTGATAGTCGAAATGGAGATGCAATTTTTAAATTATATTGCTTTCTCAGAAATTGTTTGGTAGACTATGGGCTCTCAAAAAATTAGTAAACCTATTATCACTAAGAGACAATTAGACATATAATCACATCAGCATATGTTTCAGTGTTATCTCCCTACAACTACATTTGTTCATTAGGTTCACATAAAAATTTCACTCGCGATCTAGGCTAACAACATATCAAATTCTGCAGGAAAAGACATCAGGAGACTCCATTTGAAGTCTTTAAGGAAGCATATTGGTCTGGTGCAACAAGAACCCGCTCTTTTTGCAACATCAATCTATGAAAACATTCTCTATGGAAAGGAAGGAGCTTCTGACTCAGAGGTAATTGAAGCAGCTAAGCTTGCCAATGCGCACAGTTTCATCAGTTCTCTTCCGGATGGTTACACTACCAAAGTTGGCGAACGAGGCGTACAACTCTCTGGTGGCCAGAGACAAAGGGTAGCCATAGCCAGAGCTATTCTAAAGAACCCAGAAATCTTGCTACTAGATGAAGCCACTAGTGCACTTGATGTGGAATCTGAGCGTGTGGTGCAACAAGCTCTGGACAGATTGATGCAGAACAGGACAACAATTATGGTGGCACACAGGCTATCCACAATAAGAAATGCAGATGAAATCTCAGTTTTGCAGAACGGGAAGATAATAGAGCAAGGGACTCATTCAAGTCTTATAGAGAACAAAAATGGAGCATATTTTAAATTAATCAATCTGCAACAATGCCAGTGACTATAAAATATTAAAAATATACAACAGAATGGCCTACAAAAGCTTTACTGTAATTTTGCATTATTTCCTGTCCTCATAAAGATGGGTATCTGTCTCTGTATGTAGGAGATAAATGTTAGAAGTTTTAAAAATATAAAAGGGCTATTTATGTTTCAGTTCTTCACTCCTTCCTTCCCTGTATTACCTCTGGTAATAGTAAAAGAAAATAGGAGAAATTAGGAACTAAGTGCACAAGGGATTAATTGAAGAGGGCTTGATTTTCACTCTTTATAAGCTAATGACATGCAAAGCAAATGGTATCAGTTGGGTTTTGATTGTGTTATTGGAAGGAAAATTGCCTAGGCGAACACGCATTATATGGTTAGATATTGCCTGTTTGAATTTTAGATTTTTTTTTTACCTTCTTTTAAAATAAAGAAATAGGTCTTTTTTCTTTTTCTTTTTCTTTTTTGAGATATCTTAATCTAGACATGGATGAATGATCTTTAAGGGACTGGGCAAGTAAAATAATTGAGATTCATGTAAGCTGATATTGCAATATCAAATTAGATGAGAGTATGTAAAAAAACATAAATCCAAATTGGTCCCTTCTGATAATAAACGTCTTGCATTATACATTTATACCTCATAAAATTATATTAACTACGCTGTATGTGTTCTCATGTTTATCGTAAAATATTTTGCTTAAACAAAATTATGGTTTAAAATACTCCTCCAGTCCTTAATATATAACATATTTCTTATATTTATCAATTCTTTTTCTAAACTACTCCTATTAAATAATTAAATACCACAATAATACTTATTACTCATTAATAATACACATATATATTTTATAAAGTGAGTAAGTATTTATTACTCATTAATTCCACATATACATCAATTCTACTGCATTATATTTTTAATAAAATAATTTAAAACATTTTTAAATGAATATTTTCGTACAAATACCCATTCAAGGTGATTGGATTTTTTTACGTCGGAAGATTAGCATAATAAAATATTAATCATATTATCTATTTTCTTTGTAACTAGAAAAACATAATCTTCTATTTATATTTTGCCCACTCAAACAGACAAAAACTCCTACCGAAAGAAAAACGGAAAAATTAATTCTTTTTTTCATAAATAGGGAAATTAAAAACGAACAACGGAATAGAAGCAAAACATTAAACTAAGTTACACCCTTTCTCACTAACCAAAAAAAAAAAAATTAAAGAAGTTAGACTGAGGCTGTGTTTGGGTGACACTCCAAACATCTACCCAAAAACCAAAACCATGGTTTTGGAAAAAAACAAAAAAAATTTGCTTTTGGAGAAAAAAAGAAGAGTGTGAGAGCCTATAGGATATGTATCTTGTTATTTTTTTTATAAACATATTTTTTATAAACATATTTAATCTTATATTTTATAAATATATATACATATTAATTATTTATTAATTATATTATCTTATGTATTATTAATTATGTTAATAAAAAAATATATTATTAACAATTTTATTCCTTCAAATTAAAATATATCATAAAATCTATTTTTTCTGTAATTATCATATTAACTTATGTCTTTTTTTTAGTAATTTGTATATATAAAAAATGCTTCTGATAACAACTATCAAAACACTCTCATTTCTCAAAATCACTTTTTCATAAAATCTATTCTTCCAGAATCTATTCTCCAGAATCACTTTTCCAAACCACGGTTTGGTTTCATCCAAACACACCCTCAGCAGATTTTTAACCACGTTGGACTAGAACGTTGGAGGCGAATTAATCAGAGTCTAAATTTTTTTGAAATATCAGTTTTTTAAAGAAGTTTTAACTGAGAGTATTTTGAAAAACATATACCATATTTATGATTATTATCTAACTTAACTAATTTTTTTAATTTAATTAAAATAGTTAAATACCTCCTATATTAAAGACCAAATGTGAATTACTAGTACTCGTAGATTTTATCTTGTATTCAAAATGTATCATTTATCTAAATAGATTCATGAATGGATTCGCCTCGTTGAAGAAACCAAAAAACTAGCTACTAGAATGTTCTTCAGTTTCCAATATGATATCCAGTTCTAAATTTTTGACAAAGTAACTATCAAAACTTCTGAATTTGAGGCGTAGATTTAGTTAGTGTAGTGTGTGATAAGTTATTTCAATCTTATTGGTTGAGCGTCTTCAACTTAATTATTTGATATTATTTTAGATGGTAGTTGACTGTACATTGTAGCTAATTAATCCCGTTTCATCAGGCTATTCCATGGGGCTTTTTGTGGGATAATTATTCCAAGGCTTTTTAAATACTCCTCTAGTCATATTTATAGGATAGAGAGAGAATCAATTTTTTTGTCTTATTTACAGGGTAGAGAGAGAATTTTCATATAAATATATAGTTTTACTCTTTATTTAATATTGTGTTGACTTTATTATAATAAGGTATAATGTATACTAAATAAAGATAAAATCAAAAGGTTGTTAAATTTTAAATGAGAATTAATAAAATTTAAGGTTATTATAGTAAGACATGTTCGAAATGACTTATGCATATAACAAGAGTAGTATATACTCCTCACAGTTCTAAATATAAGAGTTAGTTAATAGCTTTAAATATAAGATTTTAATCTATTTTATCTCTTAAATTCATAATGTGTTTTCAAAAATATCTTTATTAACTGTATGGTATTTCCATCTAAATATAGTTTTATTGTACACAATTGAATGAGGATAATTTAAGAAAATCAACAATATTTGTTCGAATAATTTTTTTAATCTCTTAAAATTAGTTATCTAGCTCTTACAGAGGAGCTAGTATTCCACAGTCAATTGCGCCTAATCCACAGTCGCCTAAACAATATATATAGTGCCTGGCGGCTATGTTGATGATTAAACATGAGATAATATTAATTGAAAATTACGTTCGAATTAGATTTTCTTCGATTTCCGTACGATGAACTACCCCTGGAATCTGTCACAATAAGCATATACATGTTTGCCATAAACCCCACAAAGATTATACTATTTGAAAACAAACAAGTAGAGTATCCCATCAGTCCATTAATTAATTAGATAATGCTCATCCTATTTTAAATATAAAACTTATTTTATAGTGTAACTAAATAAAAAACTCACTTTATAGTGTAGATTATACTATAAATAAATTTTATATTTAGGACCGGAAGAATATTTTTTGAGAGATTTTTTGAGTAGATTTTATTCTGTCCGTAAATTTTTCGGAATGTAATGATTAATTTAATTCGTTTGTTAGACTAATCTCATTCGAATGATGTAATCCATGTCTTATGAAAGTCAAAGGAGGCAGGCGAGATGAAAAAGAGAATTTTTCGAAGTCTGAAATTGACCTAATTGAGACTAAAATGAAGGTATCAGTGTACAAATTTAAAGATGCAAAGTTTATAATCAAGAAAATTAGCTATTGCTGCATATTATGGCTGACGGGCTCCTTCAAAAAAAAAAAAATTGTTTGCTATGTATTGAGTATCTTTCTATTGAAGATAATCTTATTTAAGCTACCAGTACTAAATGTAAGCATATCTCCAAACAAGATTTAAATATTGATTCGTCATGGTATAAGTGACTATGTCCTTTCGCTAGACCCAATTCTATTAATGCATAAGATCAAAGTTGCTTCCAAACCATGTTAATGCTACCTCCTATTCTTAATATAAAAGTTAATTAAGTAATTTGAGTAAATTAAAAAAGTTATTAAGTTAGTTACTTGTTATAAATAGGTATTATCTTTCTTAAAATGTCCTTGCTAATCATATATATTAGCTAGCTAGAATTATAATTTAATGAAACATTTAACATGTGTAATTATTACAATGACTACCTTAAAAAAATGGATAAATATAAAAAAAAAAGTGAATTAGAGTCTCATATTTAGGACTAACTTAAAAATCAAACTAGCTCTTATATTAAGTACTATAGATAATATTATTTAGCCCATTCATACTCCATAAACAAGCGGCTATCCGTTTCAACATTATCTTTACAAACAAAACATACTCCTCCGGTCCTAAATATAAGACTCTTTCTGTAGTGTAATTTACACTACAGAAAGGGTCTTATATTACACTACAAAAGGGGTCTTATATTTTGGACTAAAAAAAAAATACTATCTCCATTCATCAATATAAGAGTTAGTTGAAGATTTATTTTGGTTTTAAATATAAAACTTCAAATCACTTTGTATCCAATATTTATCTATTTTGCCCCTAACTAATCTTATAGTGATTACATATATTAAGAAGTTTTCATCAATGGATATAGTTTTCAAAGCATATTATTGATAATGATATTTTAAGAAAAACATCATTTATTTATTATAAATAATTAACTTAACTAATTTTTTTAATATCTACATATTAATTATTTAATTCTTATATTAAGCAGTAAAATAGTATAACACTTTGGATTTTGTAGATTTAATATTTATTCAATAATTCCTTTAAAATGAAAGTCAAAAGTAACAATTAGGTTAGGTTTTGTTTGGTTCAGAGGAGGGGAGGGGAGGTCAATTGAAAGAAGGGGAGAGAAGGGGAAGGAAGGGGTTTTGTTTGGTTGGAAGGGAGAGGAGGAGAGGGGAGATTTCTTGTTTGGTTTATAAGAGGAGGGAAGGGAAGGTAATTATAAATTGATAAATATGTCCTTATCTCTATATTTAGACTACTTTATTCTTTTATTACAATATTTATATCAAAATTATTATTTCTTAATTTATCAATTTCAAAAAAATCAATTACCTCAGTTACATGTGATAAAAAATTATTATAAACTAAAAAAAAATAAAATATGATAAAAAGTTTAACATTCTATCTCATTAATTTTATAATTATAATACACACGCATGTGTATTAATATATGTGATATGTATATATTATATAATTATAATACACATGTTATGACATATATATATATTAATATATATGCATGTGTGTAGTCTATCTGAGATCATAATACACACATAATATATAATTATAATACACACACATTATGATATGTATATATTATATAATTATAATACACCACCCTCTATTAATGTGTACTTATCATATTATATTACAAAAAAAATTACTACCATGATAGAAATATTATATTATCATTATCAACTATCATTAGTGGTTGAAAAGAGAAAGAAGTGAGAA